TGATTGAAGCTCAGGTATACTCTGCTTGTTATACGCATGCGCATATGATATTGGTTATGCGCATGCCCATATGAAAAATTCCCATGATCGATATATCGAGAATAGTTACAATCGATTATCTCCATGAAATCCGCCATGTTCGATTAATGGCCCATCTCTCTTTTTATATAGGAATATAGGATAGGATAGGATTCTTAAAGTTTGGACAGAAATAAGAGAAAGATTCCGAAAAGCGAAGTACAATTCATTTCGCCAAAGAACTTCACAGGATAGCATGTCGAACCTAGTGAGGAATATCTTCAAATATTCCGGTGAGGATCACTCCTATTCCTGAAAAAACTTAACCTCAATATCTCCACAACTTTATTTCCTCAATCTTTATCAAACCACTGGTATTGCTGGGAGTAGTGTCGAGAATTTCCATTTTAGGAATTAATTTATCTATTTTTGGTACTCCAGGGAATTATTTGAAGTCCTCCTATCGATTAGTTCATAATGAAGTTAGTAAACATCAAGTAGACACCCAGGTGCAGGTGGAGGAAGCAGATGCTGTAAGTTTAATTTGCTATTTCTATTTCATTTGAATTTTTTCGTCCTTAAAATCTAATTATCAATGTTTCGTTGTTCGTTTTAATCATTTCTTAATTTCCTCCTTGACGAAATAGAACATTATAAATATTATTGAATAATCGTTCTAGCCCATAACACTCGAGGAGAATCCGTTCAAGAAGGAGAGAAAGGTTTGCATCCTCTGTAGATTAAAAATCGAACCTGATTACAAGAATGTTCGGCTTTTATCGCAATTCCAAAGCTCCTACACTGGCAGAATTTATGGAAAACACATAACTGGCCTCTGTAAAGCAAAGCAAGAGAAAGTGGAGAGAGAAATATTAAAGGCACAAAACTGTGGGTTTATGCCGGTTTATAATAAAGTACCAGAATATCTGCATGACCCGAGGCTATTTGATCCGGATCATCCCTTTAGACCCCATAAATTCTGAGTTTAATTGGGATTGTACAGTCTTTTATTCCGAATTAGATATAATAAATGATGGAAAAGATGTTGCGTCTACTTTCTTCACCATTTCTGTCTTTCCGGTACCTGATAACTATAATTTTGGGTTCCTAGGCAATCTTCGGGGTTTGTAAACTTTCTGCAAGGTTTCACATCATTTTTTATTGACTGCTTACCAATTAAAAAATCAATGAAAAAACTGCGAAAACATTTCATGACTGATAATCGAAGGAATTAAGTAAAAAAATAACGAACAAACGAAATTATTTCAAATATAAGGTTTTATTTTCTTGTAAATATGAATTATTCAAATTGTCGTAGAAATTTATTTGTTGACGCACCTTAAGTGGATTAAGTTCCCAAAAAAGGAAGGCAGTGCATCGCCTCTAGGGCATGATAATAAAATAAGAAAAAAGCTTGTTAGAAAAATTCCAGTAAAATACGTTGAGTTACTTTGGTTATACATGAAGATTTTCGAAATCGAGACGTCGGTTTAGACCGTTGGCAAGATGAGAATCTTTACGCGGGTATTCTCTTGGGATTCAGATCGTACATTCGACGCATGCGTTTTTTCAATTCTTGAGGGAATTTGTCGTAGCACTTTTTGCAGGCTGGACGCAGATCAAACTCGAAAAATTTTGTCTTCTGATTCATTTTCTGGTCGCAGAAGGCACATGCAAAGTGGTGGACACACCAGGCTTTGTTGAGAGCTGTAAACACTGATAGAAATAAAAAAAAATGATTAATAAATTACTGCTACTAAATTTCGGAAACGAAATAATTCAACCAACTTCGATTTTTTGTCCTTAAAATAATTTCTTATAAAAATGTTTCTTATTGAAATATTCATTGAAAAATAGCAAAAACTCCACAGTCCATTGTTTTTAATAAAAAGCATTAACGATAAATAGACAATATTTTGGAAATAATGAATAAGATAACTGAAAAAGTTTATGTCGAATTGCAAATGCGAAGAAGAATTTCGAAGTAAATAAAAAATAAAAATGACTCGAATTACATGAAGAATATTTAGAAGATAATTGAGACTATGTCTTCCAAAGGTAATTATTGAGAACGAATGGCAATAATATTTACCATCTCCAGCAATAACTTGATTACAAACGAAGCAGAGATTCCCAAACAGCTGATGATAATGAGTCTCACAGTAAGCCAAGCCCTTTTTCTCGTAATGGCGATGTCCCAAGAACGGTTTTTCACACTTAGCACATACGAAATGCTCCACATGCCAGTGTTTTCCCAAGGCAGTGACCACTCTCTCCTCGATGGGACGTCGACAAGCTCCACAGATAGGAATTCCCATCTTGTCATGGCAACGAAGGCAATACAATTCATTCTAAATCACGAAACACAGATATCAGCATTAATTAACATCCACTTCAATCACATTTGTAATATTTTACGTATTGTTACGTTAGTCCATAATTCACATACTTTAATTTAATTTAGTCCGAAATATTATGATGAATATACGATTAAACTTATTTATCAGAATAAATTTCTATGTGACTAGCTTATCAATCTCAACAAGAATGATTCTTGAATAATCATTGAAGATTGCGATTTGTAAATAATTTACCATTTCATTGGCTGCATATCCAGGCCGCGATCGGACTTCCCTAGCATCGGAATTCAGCTCCACCTGACAGGCAGTACAATTGAAGTGGTAGGGATGATACACTTCTCCTCGGAATCGTAGGGGCTTGTCATCGATGACTCCACTGTAATTAAAGAGAACTGAATACAGCGAATTTCGGAGTTCTTAAGTGAAATATTCCTAAATTTGCGTTTCCCATTGCTGTGCGGAAACTAATCCAATAATTATAAAAAACTTATAAAAAAATAACTAGAATTGTTGAAGGGAGGCAGATCAAGATATTAATTCTATATGATTTCAAATTTACAGAGGAATAATTTTAAAAAAAACGCCCTTTACAGTTAATAATAATATAGAATCAAAATGGAGTGGCAAATGCTGCCGATGGTAAATTGTGCTTTTCAATATATTTTTCTATAAACATGAAATATTCCTCGGAATCAATATCTCGATTTACTACCCTTCAACAATTTTCCTTTTTTATTGTTATAATTATTTCAATGACCATTGGAATACTTTGCGCAATGCAATCCGAATTCAAATTTTGAAAAATTTTAGACTCACAAGATAAAATTGAAATTTCGATAGATTTCGAATACATACTCGTCCTGAAATATTTCAGTGTATTCTGGAAAATATATATTTCAATGGAAATAAGGAATTAACGTACTGGCATTGATGACAAATGTGTTTCCCAAGGGCTCCAGCCTTCACTCGAGCATTGCAAGTATGACAGAGAGCTCTTCCCTGGCACTTGATAAATCCAGCATCAGCGAGTTCGAAATCGCATTCCTCACAGCGGAAACATCCTGGATGCCAATTTGCGTTCATCGCCTTTATGACTCTGCCGATCACAAACTCTCCTAGAAATGAACACCACAGGGTGAGGGCATTCCCAGTTATTCAGAATAATCCTGAATCCATTTTAGAGAATTATAATTACCACATCGACCACAGCAGGGTGCAAACAAAACGTGGAAATCGTGTTCGCAGTATTTTCTACCCTCGAACTCGTAGAAGATCCCCTCGGGAAAGGGACGGAAGCACTGGGCACACCTTTAAACCAAAACATTCAACAAAATGCCAAATTAGATACAATTGGAGCAAATTCAAAGAACAAAAAATGTTCTTAAAAAATTATATATCAATATACCTATTCATTTGCTTTGAAAATATAGAAAAATGGAACCAAAGTTGAAATTTATATAAAACATGGAAATTACATTTTTACGTTTAAAACACGATAACTCCATGAAAAATGGTGAAAATCTCATAACTCACAAATTTATTTGAATCTTATTCGATGAGCATTCAAATGAGTCAATATATTACCTCAATACGAAATCAACAGAGGAATTACCTCAAAAATCGAAAAAAGGGAGTATTATTAACACGAATCATTTACTCAGCAATTACACTTTAAAAAAACTAAATTCATGAGTAACTTACACAAAACACTGTGGATGCCACAATTCCCCATGAGAATTAACAATTTTTTCGTGTGCTTCGAAGCCCTCCCGGCACCTGGAGCAGAACATGTTGTCCAACGACATCCCAGTGATTCTGAAAAAAATTCCAAACCCTCGGATTAGTAGAACCACTCGATAAAGATTGTCACAGATAATCTACCGAGTGGTCTCCTTCCTGGGCGCAATGACAGGGCCATTGTAAACATTATGAGAAAAGGGAGGATTTCTCGCAGGCAATTTTGGAGCCTCGGGATTCTTCCACTCCGCAAGTTCTTCATAATCAACTTTTTCAGTGCTCTCATCAGCATTATCTCCCTCAGCGGAATTTCGACGGGACGCCATTCGTCGATGGTAAAGACCGCTGTTCTCCAAAGAGAGGAGGGACAACGATGTGGGAAACTTCGATGGACTCTCTGCCATTTTATGACTCCCAAAATTAATTAATGGTGAGAAATCTATTTGTTCTCAATTCAATGAGTAAACAACTTTCTATTAATTATGAATGACCTTTCATGAACAGACTTAATATCCACTGAAAATATCTCCGCACATTATCATTCTCCCCCAATCGACTTCCAGTAACTTTTAATAAAGTTGGGCGTCCTGATTAATTTCACACTTTGACCAAATAAATCAGTTTACTTTTTGATTTACTAAAACTGAATAGAGATTTCTCAACATAAATAAGTGGATTGAGAGGATAGAGTCTTTAGCTAATTCACAAACGACTCTAGACACTTAACAAATGATAAAACCACTTTTAAATTCTATTCTCCTCAATCTTACGAGACATCCTTAAGATTCAGTCGTCAAACTAAACTACAAATAGCACTTGAATACAGCATAAAAACTAAAGACTGGTGAAGCAACACGAAATCTCCCAACACAGCAGACATACGATAGTTGCAGCTCAGCACATATAGACTGATAACTTATCTCTCCAGGAATGATTTTAGTATCACGTGGGCATTCAACGTTTGCAGGTGGATAACACAATATTCTAGATCCCTCCTCGGACTCAGTGACATTCAGCAAATACTCAACCGATCAGTACAAAACGATCATTCCAACGAACGTAAAATAATGAATAAAAACCCGTTTTGTAATGTTAATACACATTTTAAATGCATGAACGAGGAATAGTGTCAGTTCTAAAAATAGAAACTGCTTACCCTGGCATTATTGAGGCAAATAAAGACAATTATTGGGTGGAAGACCTTTTGTCACTTGCTGACTGCTGAATAATTGTCGATTTATTGGTCGAATTGTTGTTTAAGTTTCTGGAATTATAACGACAGTGATAGAATGTCTGGATACACTTGAATGAGCTGTTCACTGCAATGTCCCACCCTGTTTTACTCATCGCCCACGTAATAACCTTGAGTTAAATTCATAAAGAAGTGAATTGAGACGAGGATAATTACAGAAAATTGGAGTAACTCATTGACTTCTTGTTTCTCGAGTGATTAAGGGATTTTTACCTTGTTTATATCTAATTGATGAAATGGAAATGCTCTACTATATTTTTAGATCCTCGAAGCCTCAAGTACGAAGAATACGAAGATTGTGGTCATAACCTCAAAATTATTAAACTGACGCACCAACACTAGCAAAAAATCAGAAAGCCAGGGGAAATGGGCGAAATGCGTGGGAATGCAGTTGCGTACGCATTTAGGGCCTCAGAGGAAACAGCCAATCACAGGGCTGGGATGAGCGCTTGCCCTTTTTAGATTAACCTTCAGTTCAAAGGACGCTTTTGGGAATTTTAATTAGTCTTTTATTTGTGCACTTTTAGGGTATTTATTCTATACAGAAAGTTCCAAAGGGCGTTTTTCCAATTCTTTTCAATTCCCCACATTTTTTACGTTATTAATCAAGCAGATCTCCTGCTCAGACTTTTTCTGAAATAATCATAACTCAGAAATAAATCGGAGTGTTTCAGATTCGAAGTAACATAATCTATATTATCAATGATACAGTTTTTTTACACCCAAGCCTGATTCCATTTTTAGGCGGATTTATGCACATCGTTTGTCCATTTAACAAGAACATCTTAAGTATCAACTAAATTTACAATTAAAAACAACATTAGTAAAGGGCAAAGAATGGAACTCAAACTTGTGTACTCAAAGTATCGGTTCGTAATTTTTAACCACTTTACTAATGAGTAATTTTTTTCTTCATTTATTAATTAACAATTACGTTATTCATGGTATGTTGTTCGTTTTCTGTGGTGTCTCTCGGCAGGTTCACTTTCCATCAATTATTTATATTATTCTATGTTAAATAATCGATCGGGATGAAGGAATGCACTGGGCCCTACCCTTGGCACACAATCTTTTTATATCATTAATTAATTAACGGAAAAATTGAGGTTTCTACAGCAGACTTTACACGATACAATACTTGATATTGAATTTACAACAGCGATGAACTTGTGCTCGACATTCAACACCATTTTTTGGAAAACACAAGTGACTTGTAATTATTTTATCACATTGTCGAATGCTAAGTGCTGATTAATGGGGTTTAGTTATCTTTCTTCATTCTGTTGGAAGTCATTCTGTAGATTATGGAGTCTCGGCCCGGATCCATTTGAGCAATGGCAACTGAAAAAATTATCGATTAATCAAGTGCAGCAATCAATTAATTAAATTCAACTTGTGAGTTGCGCCTCCTTTTCTCATTGTTGATTTATCCCGAGGACGAAGAGCTATCTAAAGAAAATTGATAGAACCGATTTTGTGGAACTAGAAAAATTTCCAATGAACTCCTGGGGCTACCACGATCAATCGTTAACGAGATAAATCGATAATGTTAGGGAGATAATTATTTTAAAGTTTTACTTACTGCAGATGGCGAGGAGAGAGAAGAAGAAAACGACTCCGAACCACAAGAAGATGTTGAAAATAACAGGATAATTCGCCGAGTACCTTTTCGAAAGTCTCAACTTGATTGGCTGCAATCAGAATCACTCACAATTAATTTCCTCATTAACAAATCCCTGCAGTTCAATAAAAAAGAGACATCTAAAAACACTCGACCGTATTCTCCAGATATCTTTGAAACGGGGGATTGTAACAAAATAAGTCCCAAATCTTTTTTGTTGCCCCCAAAATTGTCTACAAAAAAGTTAATTAAAATTTTACTCCAAACCCCTTTCCTCCAAAGATATTTACAGATATACGAAAAAAACAATTTTTAAAAAATCAATTCCTCTCACAATTGACTAATCAATTAACAACAGAACAGATAATTAAACCTAGAAGACATCGGTTTATCAACGAAATCAATAGAAAACTCAACAGCTTAAAACTTAACGCAACTTAATTTAACCGTACCAACCGAATATTCTCAAAAGCAGGACGATAAAAGTGCGTTTCGTAAATAAACTAGTAACGCTTGATAGGAACTCCAAAATCTTCAGCAAACCAACAAATACCGAAATTAAATGATGGGGTTAACAGGTGTTGTCGTCATCACAATACCTTTCCAGGGTCATAATCATTTTCACTACTATGCATCGAGTGAATCTCGTGTTTCCGCTCTTTCAAATCAGACTCAGTGGTCGATTTCTCAGAGTCTCGTGTCGTTGTTTCTAGATCGTTGATGAGTTCAACAAGTTCCTCAGTATCATTCTCCATCTTTCGTATGCTCTATAAAATTTTTACGGAGTAACTGGGGAATTTATGTACAACATCTGGGTACAGGAGCGTTACTAGCTATTTGGTGCAGTTCCATCATGCAAATCACTTCCACTATTCTCTGTATTAGATATTATTTATCAACTAGACTTATTTATCGACGATTATTATACCTTATCAATTTTATTGAGAGTGTCAGTGGCGTTTTGGGAAGTAGCCTCCAGATTTTCCTTTTGTTTCAAATCGAGGAAAGTGCAAGGAATTTCATTGTTAATAAATATTAATCCGATTTATTCGTAACTTCATTCATTGCAATTTGTTTCTGAATTGGTCGTACAAGATATGCAAGTAACTTCTCCATACGACAGAACTTTGAAAGAATAGATTTATAAATATTTATCTTTTTAAATCATACATTTCTAAAAAAAAATACCTTTAGAATTATATTTTTTTATATTGCAGATTTTTTAATGTTCATTTCTTAGGAATATATAATGAAAATTGTTTAAAGTATTGTTTAAAATATTTGGTAGCTAATGATTAATATTGATGAATTATCTTAGTTAGAGTAGAAAAATTAAACTAGTGGTTCTAATTTTTCAGCAGATTTTTTAAATATTGTCACTTGCGATGAATGAGGTTGAGGTATTCTAATTAAGCTAATTAATAATTGACGTGATTCATTGAACTTACAGTTTCCCCGACTTTCTCCTCCCTTCGTACACGTGACTGAATGGACCTGACATCATTGGTGAATACTGCAACGACGACTTGTCCATTGTAAATATCAGTGAATGCATTGGAGACGTCGTTGACGGCGTCGTTGAGGAGCTTGAAGGCCTCCTTGGTCGCCTCAGAGTCCTTTCCATGCAGGTCTATCACTGGTCGAAGCCCAGAGACGACGAACCAGTAGACATCTGGTTTGGAGTTGGCTGTGATTGTTGAGGGGACCTTCTGGGCAATTGCTCGAAGCAGCTCGAGTTCCTCGATGAATTTTCGGTCCTCGTCATTGCTGAGGCTGAGATGCTTCAGAGACGATGCGTCCACTGGATTTGGCTTAAGTTCACCGAGGGCCGATTGCCCCAGCTTTGACGAAAAAATCAGAGAGAGTCATTCAGAGAAGAGTGCGATTACTTGAGAAAAATATTAAAATGAAAAATTTTCTTTTTCCTCTCGAGGTCGACCTAGGGTTATTGGACTGCCAACGTGACTTTCTTTCATTCTTATATTTTTTTCTGGCATTGAGAAATTCATTATCATCAACTGTTAGCTCACACTTTGCCTCCCCTAATTATTTTATTTTTATATTGTCTCCAACTTCGCGAATTTCATTTTTTATTGTGTATTATCGTTATCATTTATTATCAATATATGTAAAATCGTCGGAAGATAAAACAAACGATAAAAATGTCGACTCACAGCGTCCAGTCCATCGCCAACACAAATCCTAACGAGAGTATTATTATTGTCTCGTTCCTCCAGGCGACGAGAGACTGCCTGCCACGTGGTTTCCTCGACCTCGTCGACGTTCAGAGGAAAGTGCTTTCCCCTGGGTGATTTCAGCGTCTCAACTCCCTCGATTGCAATACTCACGAGAGCCTCTGGAAGGGCGAAGGGATCTGTAATCGTCACTCCATCCCACGGTTGAGTCTTCAAATGAAAAACAAATATTACAAAATCAAATTAATTAATTAAAAGGCAACAGATAACTCCACTCCACTCCACTCCTTATCGAATACAGTAATTTTCGAAAGATCTCTCTGAATATAATAAAGATAACAAAGTTTTCGTCATGACCTTTTTGAGTGTCTGTCTTCATTTTATAGTTATTTTTCAAAGGTTGAAAATAAGATGTAATTCAGATGAATGCGATTATTTGTTTAAAAAATATTGGAGTTTCGAAATAAGCAGTAATTAGGAGATTTTATTTACCAATTTAGGGGTGTATCCAAGAACAACAGTGAAGACTTCCTTCAGACAGCTCTGGTTGATGGTATGTGTCCCATCAAAGTGTACACTGGCAGGATTATTCAGAATGACCAACTCCCCATCGCCTAGAGCTGCGTATCACCACGTGAAATATCAGTTATCATTATTCATTGATATTTCGAGAGGAGATTAATTATTATCGCCACACCCACACGTTCCAAAAGTGGATGAACTTCAGGATCACTGTGGGGTTGTAAAGGCAAGGGTTGAGAGAAATCACTGAAGACTCACCTGTGCCGATGGCGAATAACGTGAGGAACACGATCTTTAACATTTCTTGACACCAAATTGTAAGGATTCACTCAAATAATCGGTGATTTCAGGGTTCTTATCCTAACCCACTGATCTCCAAATTCTGAACCACCGAGACCGATCATATGACGTGAAATAGTACTGGAAATTGATGACCGAGGCGCAGTCACGAGGTTTTGTTGGCGGGAAAAAATTATATCATATCTATATTTTGAAATGAGACTAGCCCCAGACCTTTAGAATTCTTTTATTTACATAACTATTATCGCTACAATCACACGTAAGTTTTTAATTAAAACTAGCTAGTGGCAGATGTTGATTGCAGGGGAAGCGAATTCGGAAAATTCAACTATATGCAACTATCACCACCACGCGTTCGCTGACACCGTAATATAATTCATACAACATAATTATTTAATATTCTATAGAACACTAATAATGTGATGTATTTTCAGACAGTGATGGACATTAGTAAAATTGCAATGAATATCTCGTTTGCATTCTTCCGTTATTTTTTGTATTGGTAAATGTTTTTTATGAATGGAGAATCTTGTTTTGAATTTAAATTGATTTTCTACTTCATTGCGTAAGCAATTCTAAGCCCTTGAAGTACACATATTTTAGATCGTACTCCATATCATACCAGAAGTTGATGGCTATGCAGGCTTGGGATTGTTGAACGTGGTGGAACCATAATGAAGGAAGGTAGAGGACATCCCCAGCCTGAACTGACACTTTGACTGTAGTCGCATTCTTATACATCGGGTACCTGAAATTTGTTGGACATTTATTTGTAAATTGTAGGGCAATTGTAGGGCAATTCCGTATTTAATTTATGAAGGATTTTGGATTTTTACCTCACATAATCTGGCTTCAGGGGATCGACGGTGATCCAAGGAATATAGTCTCCTCCGCTGGAGTCGTCTGAATGGTTTTGAGGGACTGACTGAATTTTCCAAGAAGATTTGTCTCTTTTATAAACTGCTGAAGGATACTTTCTGTACGGAATCCAAGGCAAATCTGTCGGAGGGTGCAGGATAAACTCTTTCTCTCCAGATACGACACAATAAATATTTTCGTATGGATCTTTATGCACTGGAATTAAATTATATATTTTTTCACGCCAATCGGATTTCCCAGAAAATCATTGTTCTCTCGTTTTCCAAAAATTTACAAAAACATGAAAAATGAGAAGATATTGGAAATAGTTCCTTAACTACTCATTCATCTAAAAATCTATTGTTTTCAAGTGGAAATATGAAAGAGGAATGCTGTCATCTTCGAAAATTGAGTCGATTAAAAAAATTCTCCAGTATTTCTATCATAAATCAATGATAATTAATTATTTACTAGACGTAACGGCTCGTTTATCCCCCATCCAGAAATTAATGGCATCGGGATTTTTGCCAAAGGCCTCGGAAATGCATTTCGGCTCTTGAACATCTCTCCACAGCTCGTGGAATTCCTCCTGAAAATTCGAGTTCTGCTTCTGAATGTAAAGTACTTCATCGTCCCTGGGGGTTGTCAAATTATCGAGAAATTCTGACATGGTCATCTCCCTCTCCTCCGGCATCACGAAGTACTCTTCATCGTCTTCCTCGTTACGTGCAATTGCATCGGCATATCCAGTTGGAGTGACTGCCACTGTAATTTTTTTTTCAGGAATTTTCCTCCGAAAATAATCGACGCCCCATGTTCCCACGGCTGGCCAATTAAACACACCATTCTTTATCAATAGCGGTAAATTCTTTGATACGTATTTTTGATGAAATTGGAGGGCCGTTAAAGACTCCTTGTTGGCGTCTAGGGTGTCGACTTCTTCTCTCAAATACAGCTCTGCAAATAATTCTATACTAATTACGAATTCTGGATAAGTATTAGTGAGATTTGATGAATTTTTAAATTGTCATGAGGTATAATAACTGATTCCCAAATATTAATTTATCCATTAATAAATCAGAAAGTTGTAATCGAAATAGGAGGGATCAATCAAATTATTTAATGTTTATTCCCATGTAGCATTTAATTATTATTCCAAACCTTTTGCTTCCTGCGATATAACTCGACAGTAATTGTTGATCAGTTGCTCACACGTCTGTTCCATCCTCTAGTTTCAATCGAAAATTATTCCAAAAGTGGAGGATAACACATGAAATCATCCAAAACTATTGACATTCCTCAACAAATATTACCACGTGGTCGCATTGGCGGGATGACATGTAATTGACTGAAGGTATTTATTCACCATTTTTTCCTCTGAAAAATATCTTCTCATCAAATTATCTTACGAAAATCACCATTGGCGCCGAAATGTCTTTTCGAAATCACTTCAAGATTATTTAAAATCCTGACAATTGCATAAAAAGATCATAAATCCTTGACACTCTCGATGAGTTTGATATTCCACGAAGGACATAACCTCTGTAATGATGTTTTTTCAGTTTAAAAAATTACTCAGTAGAATCCCAAGTTCTTTTATCAAAACCCTAAAGCATAAACAATTCAATAAGGGGTGGTAAAGAAAAATGGTAAGTGCTATTAAAATTGACACCCAAGAGAATCAATGTTTTGTTAAAAAATTATAAGTGCAATATTATTGGAATTCTTGGTAAAACTACAATAAATGATTGAATTAATTCATTTCAGAAATGAAATGGCTCTTTAGGAATGGGAGAGAATAAATTGGGATTGGAATCAAATATAATCGAAATAAGTAAAAATAAAAAATGTTACTCAGGGTGCCAGATTTTTTGTACTAGTAACTTTATATAAGTCTTCGCGATGAAATGAAGAATGATGAAGAATTGTGATTTTTTTATATTATTACATTATATTTTTTTACTTGTAGAATTAAGCCCAGCATAGAATGGCTGATAAGATTGATTCCTCGTCCAGCCAGAAAAATCCAGGTGCCGCCCCCGGGGATGGCATCCGCTCCCTCAGGAGCACGATGCTCTTCAGGGCTGTCAACTACGAGCTCTACGTTAAACCAGTAATAATTCATTGAAGGCTTTCTCAGATTAGGGTAACACGACCAGTAGCTGGTTGAGAATTTTTTTTCCTATCCAAAAATATCCATCGAAGCAACTATCAAAAAAATGAAAAAAAGTAAAGACAATTATCTGATAATTACTTTGTAAAAGCGACCACATACTGGCAGTGTCTATCTGCAGGAGGTGCTACCTTTAATTTTTACTTATTTCTCCAATTCTTTACCTGAAATTTCAGTTATTGGTTTCTCCTAAATTTTTGTTGCCTAAAAAAACGACTTCCAAACCAAAAAATTGCTTGCATCCTTTGAAAGAAAAATTGGAGAATTACAACGAACAAATAATCAAGTCCTAATGTCCCTTCAATTTCCAGAATATAGTAATAATGGCACTGGGTTTGGCTGCGATTGTGGGTTGTTCCGGGTACATCTTCTATATGCGATCGAAGTACGAAGACATGGGATACTACACAGCTCTCGAAACCGACGGCAAAGAGACGTTCAAAAAAAAGGAATCCAAATGGAATACATGACTTTCCAAATGAGTGAATCATCTTCGTGTACAAACGTCAAAGAAATTTCGTGTAGTTCTGTAACTCATCGAGTGTAATAAAGTATTCTACGCCTAGAAAATAGATGGTTCGTCCCTACTTGAATTTTATTCAAAGGGTAGAAGTAGAAGAACAGCGAAATTAAACGAAATACTTTTTATTTTACTAGGGTAACATACGCCATCGAAATCTCGTCAAACATACAATTGAACTAGACTAGTTGCATGATCAGCAATTTCTTTTCCTAAATATAATCTCTATTATTGAATTATCGGTGACTTGACGTTGATTCCACATGCTATTTCTCTTTGGCACACGTGTTACAATGTTTATTCAACATTTACAAAATCTCTGGTTGTTCTATGATTAAGTATTTCTAATTTTTGTACTCATTATTGTGATACGTTTCTGGAACAATCTGCTGGTCAATAATTTTCATTTGGATAATTCGCAATGACAACTGTCAATGCTCCACTGTTTACCCTGGATTTTCAGTCACCAATTTCATATCTGGACTATTTATTTATAATGATCTATCATTTTTGCTTCTAAATGGAAGGTTCTTTTGTATTGAGTCTTGGAGTGCACACACATAGCCATGGAAAACTACTCAACGTACACTAAACTCGTTAAATTTCAATATTCTTCGGCCATGGTGCAGGCCAAATCGATCCGATCCGCTAGCATATGTGGCTCACGTCTGCATGAAAAGGGCCCATTCGCTCGATCCTAGTGTCTGAGATTCGCATTTTTTGCAAAGGGCTAAAAATTATCCTTTTTAGTTACCATCTCAGACTTCCCTAGAACTCTTCCTGCATCGAATGAGACGTGTTGAGTCTTATTATCTCAACTAGAAATGAATTATTTTGACTTTTAGGAAAAAATAAAAAGGGCCACCTTTTCTTGATTTTTGAATATTCAACTTCAAATATTTATCACTCCACGATTTTTCAACTTAGAGGGTCCCGGTTTGTCTTGAAATACAGGTGATATGGCCAAGTATACGCCCTTTTTATGCGGACGTCCACATATATGAGTCAGTAATTAATGATTTCCAGAATCCGGCAGTGAGACGACTGTTTCGTGAAATGCCTTCGCCACGTATTCCATATTGTGTTCGTTGAGGCCGCACATATTTATGCGTCCGCTTCGGGCCATGTAGATGTGATAGTGATTCCTCAGGTGCTCTACTTGTATTTCTGTTGAATTAAGAAAGCAAAATTAGGCTATTCAAAAATGCAGGGGGAGGCGGGTAATAGAGACACGTGGGGTAAAATGAACTCTTTCCCTTTTTTTCCTTTAAAAATTCAAGAAATATTCTGTGATAAAATGGACACGCGATTCTTATGTTAATCCATAAATATTGACTGTTTCCTATGACGATTGAAAATTTCCATGAATACCTGTAAATCGAGACGGCTTGCGGGAATATTCATGATTGCAAAAAAATGAAGTAATCCATTTTATCCCTTTTTTGTCTCCGACGAATATTGCATGCCAACGGTAATGCATTTACAATTTCGAAATGAAATTATGGCAGCACTCATATTCAATTCCTGACATTATTCAAAAACTGTGTCCACACCACCCTCCCGCGCACATAAGAAAACAGGTACAGTCATTCGTAAATTTGCAAGAGCTAAGATTAATATCGACCAATCAAAATCAAAATATCAATGACAATATATTATTAGGCTTTATCTATTGGGGTTTTATCAATGTATATTTGAGAAACATCTGAGGTTTGACTCAATAATCCTCTGAATAATAACAAAAAAAAATAGCCCACGTTTTTGGGTATTGTGAATTGTGATTAAATCGTTTCGATGCTGGAGCTCACCTGTCAGTCCAGTGTACGAAAACATTCCAATTTGTTTCGTTATGTGCTCCCACGTGCCTGGAGTTCCAAGCTTCATGAGTCTCTCGTACAATCTCCGTCGCATGTCAATTATTCTGTTAGCCATTGTACGAATATGGTCTTTCCTATCAAAACAAGAATCAATTATTCAATCCAACAAGAAATCAATGAAGAAACTATGAAGTCATAATTTTCTCTACTCTATACCTAATTAATTAATATATATTTCTTCTTAAAATCAATAGTTTTTAGATCAACTGTTCACTGTTGAATTGAAATTACAAAACTGTAAGGTCGAATTACCATTCTTCATAAAGATCTGCATTCCCCAGAACCGAAGCCACAATTCGTGCCCCATGATTCGGTGGATTGCTGTACATTCCTCGAACGATGAGTGTCAATTGAGATTTGACTTGAGCTATTTCTTTCGCGTTATTCATTACCACAGCGAGATTTCCAGCACGCTCGTTGTAGAGGCCAAAATTCTTGGCGAAACTCTGCGCACCTAGAAATTCAATACCACGCTCTGCGAAGAGGCGCACTGCGTAGGCATCGCGATCCAAATCACCACTGGCAAATCCCTAAAGTTATGAAACTTCAATTTTATTTCCGACAATCAGAATTTAAATTAGCAGTGAAGTGCCCAGAAGTGGTAAGTGAATTTTTTTTCGAAACCATTTTGCCTTTACTATGAATCTCATTAGCATATTGATTTCAAATCGCTAATAAGAAGATAACGAAATTAAATATAATAATTGAATAATTATTATTATTCACTAATAAAATTTCAAATGCTAAACAAATGCATTTATCATTTTTTAACAGCTTTTTACTGTTTTCTCGATGTTTTACACTGTAAGACCAAAAAGTTTTCGTTTTTTTTTCGTCTTTCATTATCAATTTTCGAACTTTATTCATGGAAAATGTTTACTCACAGTACCAATTATATGGTACGTATTCTGGAGTGTGGTATTCCTGATGAGATAAATTCCGATTTCCAAAATCGTAATTCCTGTTTTCGAAATCACAATTGACGTTTTGGAAATCGCAATTTACGTTTCAGAGCACGTACTTTACGGCTTATTTCTTCTGTCAATAAAAATTGTCGATGAATAAAGTATTAACTTTCTCGAAAATTGATAGAATATTTATCCGCTTTGTCTGAAAACACTATATTACATATTGATGAATTATGGATTATAAATGTTATCTGAAAACTTTCAGTGCCATTCATATAAAATTTCTAATTGTTCCCTGCAAATTCGCAAAGATCTTCAATGAAATTTCTACGAATTCATGTAACAAGTCGACTTATCGCCTTGTTGTTATTATAACGCTATCTCTCGCTATCTCTTTCAATTTTCTCTCAATTATTTTTATCGAATACTCAAGTATTAGTTAAATTAACTTGTTCCCCTTGGCAATTGCACATTTACTGAATTTTTGCAAAGAATTTCTCCCATAATACAACTTACTTGATAGGCACTATCAAAGAAGGTAAAAAGTTTTTTTTTCTGAATAACATCAGCAATTCTTTCCCACTGCTCAGCAGTTGGATCAGAGCCCGTTGGATTATGAGCACAAGCATGAAGAATGATAACAGAGTTCTCCGGAGCATTGCTGAGATCCTCGAGCATCCCCTCGATATCAACACTTCGATTAACAGGATCCCAGTATCTATACTCGCACCCCTTCTTGAACCCAGCATTCGTGAAAATGAGTTTATGATTTTCTGTGAAATTCATCACAATTAACTATTCATTATCACAATTTATCTGCATCTGCTGGAAGAGCTATTTCTTTTTTAAACATTTAAATATTCACCCCAAGTGGGTTTGCTGTAGTAGAACGTATCGTAGTGCAGGATTCTGGAGAGGAACTCGGCGCCAACACGAAGGGCACCAGTTCCTGAGAGAGATTGCACTCCAAAAGCTCGTCCCTGGAGAATCGCTGGAGAATTTTTTCCCAACAGCATCTCCACTGCATTTTGACTTAGGGCGTCCAGCCCGAGTACAGGGAGATATTCATGATTCTGGAGCTCATCATCTGCCATATTTTTCTCTACTTTCTTCACTACTGGGAGAACCCAGGGCTTCCCCTCGTTTGTACGATACGCTATCGAGAAAACCGTGAATTTCATTTGATTTCATTTAACACAGATTACAGAGCATCTACTTCATTAATTGAAAACTTATTGAATACTCTATTTTAATAAATTAATGGAAAAATTCGAAGCATGAAAGCAGGATCAAAATTATTTCCGCAATTTTAATAATTTTTCATTGCACTTGTCATTGATAATTAATTGAATACTCGATCTCGTTAGTTTCATTATTTCTTCATTATTTCTCTCATTTTAATCTTTTTAGCAATGACTCGAGGGCTCTGTTCGATATCTCAATTTGTACGTTTTATCATCAACATTATTGGTACCCAAAAGGAAATAAGAATCAATCACGAGTAATAAGTAAAGATTCCTTATCAGTTACACTGGTTTTATCTCAGTCATAAAGAAACTATTCTCTTTAAACAATGAAGTAAACAAATGAGTCTTCCTATAGTAGATATAGCGCTGGAGATACCAGAGTAATTCTATTGCATCATCAGTCATGTGATTTATGTAACATACTGGCGTTATTTTCATCAAGTGTTAAACAAGGTCGATTTCATCGAAAAATTGACCATTTAATATTCGGCTGGGAAAAAATGCAGAAAAGTCGAAAATAGCAATTGGAATGTTCTGCGTCGTTTTTCTTTCCAGGATAATCTGAATGGTGTCAGCGTCATCCCTTTTAATGAACAAATTTCTCAACAAGTGATTACTTACCACCGATTGTCAGATTGACTTTCTTTTCGAAGTTGTCTTCCAGGAATTTTTTATTCAACGCGAAAATCTCGATGGGCGGACCCATTTCAATTCCTGAGAATCTTGTAGTCGACATTTTGACTGAAATTGGAAAGAACAACAATTATTTCTGTTAAGAACAATCACGAGAAATATGAAAATATTTGGAAAAAAGTGAGTATTACAAAATTACTCCGCGTGAAATTCTCGGGAATAAAATTATGGTATTTCAATGGTAAAATTGAAAATGAAAAATGAAAAATGTGGGGATTCTCACAGAAATTGAAGAGGATATTATAAGAGCGATTTTGATGGAATTCAATAATTTAATTTGAATAATTGTAGCGATTGGAGTACCTGCGGTTGAGGAAGTGGAGGACTAGATATTGTTGGAAAGAGCTAGTGTTGTCACTCGGTAATTCCTGATAGATCCTTGGAGGGTCCACGTTCCTGGAACATCAAGTGGAAACAGTGGCTGGAACGACCTTGTGACAAGAGAGCGATTGAAACAACGCTAGTCAGTTCATCAGCTGTTGAGCCGCCAATTTTCGTTCTCTCCTCCCACGTGGGGGCTGTCATGACAGTTCAAGGGGGATTCACAATCGCCGGTGTTCACCAAGGCGCCAATAATTATCCCATTTAAAAACACATCATAATAACAACCTAAAATAATATTACAATTTTTTACATAAAATTTTGACGCTTTTTGGAAAATTCCTCTGATTTGTCGCTGCCATTTTATTACAATTCTAAAAACCTTGCGAATCGTTTTTTTGGATTATTTTATTGGTTATTCGACAGGCAATAGATTTTTATTTATCTTTTTCAATTTTGCTTGTTAGGTTGTTACTTTTTTGATTCAAATTTTTTATTTCTTTTGAGAAGTGGAAAACGGGGATAAGTGGATTTTTTTTGAGGTCAGTCTTTAGCCAATATCTCGTAATTGAAAAGAGATAGCGATTTTTCTGATTATACATTTTTTGTAGAGAAAGACGACCCCTACAAAAAAGATAGTCATGAAAATGTCAATATTTTAATTCAATTTCGAGTTATTCCGGAAAAACGCATTCCGCGAAAATGTGAACTTGTCGTAGCTTACCACGCCACTATTGATTTGAAATTATAATAGCCGGATTTTCCGTTTTCCGTTGTATTCTGATGGATTTAATATGTTAAATAAAATTCAAGAGAATGTTCATGTAGAACAATTCATAGAATTTCGAGTCCTAACAGAAATTAAACAGAATTTTGAGTAAAACCGACAGTTGTTCCTATCCATTCTCCATTTCGGAACCGATAAACCGATATTACACTGAAAATACACTGACCAAAAGCAAAACCCTTTGCCAAATGTATTCTCTTTTGATTAATAAATATAGTGGAAAAAATATTATTTTGTCTAAGTTTGGATTTCACTATTATCGCAATTCAGACTTTTCTTTTGCAAATTTTGAAGTTTCATGAAAATTTCTGAGAAACTATTGATTAACGGGGAAAAATGTACGACTTATAAGTTTTATCATCATTCAATGCCCCATGAAGTTTTATTACTCTCGAAGAATTTTTCCACTTTCTCAGTAAAAATTTCTAAAAATAGACGCGCGACTCTACACATTTAAGATTCATTAAATACTGATAAAACCTAAAAAGCCTCTATTTCATTCACGTCATTCCATGGTTTTTCCGAAATGAAGAAAAAACCTGAGAAATGAGAAGATATCGGCAATAGCTCCTTAATCGTGGGAATTATCCAAAGTTTCAGAATGGAAAATGAGAAAAATAAATTGTCGACTGCTGTCCCAGTGGATTCTGAAATCACATACATCTCTAATAAATGCTCCCTCGCAACGAGGATACGGTGATTACACCGATAATCGTTCGGAGAAAAAAAAAAGTAGTGAGTTAAATTAGCCCCGTCCTGATGCCCCCCGACTCCCCGAAACGAAAAACAGGTAGATTTATCAAAACGTTCAATCTGGCATCATCGAACATTTACGTTCCCCGTGAATCAGCATAGATCTGATCCCGGAACTGGTATCGAATGTATTCGATTCGAGAAATGTAGTCACATGTTACAGTGATGCAACGACTGCTCACCTACAAATCAATCCCCTACCATCAAAAACATGGCGAAAATAAATTCCATCGACAAAACGACTTTTCCTTCAATTCACCACCTAATATTCCATGATCCTACTGACATAATACAAAATAATCCAAATAATACAAAATGTTAATAAATTTACGTTAATAAATATTAATAAAGTCCTATAAACCTCCCACACGCCGAAAATCACTTTTCCGCACTAGTTCCAGAATATCCTATTCTGCACGACGTGCGAATAATATTTATTTATATTTTATAATTCGCAATGTGCGGGAAAGAAAAGTTACTTTTCGACACGTGATGAAAAATAATTTAAACAAGCAAAAATCATTTTCGTCCACAAATATATTCTACTATAAATTTTTTCATTTAAATTTTTAAATCGCGCTCGGATGGTGTCACATTTAGCGTGTCATCATTTTATTCCCACTTCTTGTTTACCTTTTAGATACGCTCATGAATTTCAATTCGAATTCGCGTGTTTGGAAATTCATGCTTGAATGAATTTGCGGGATTATCATCCGGGACTACATTTCGGTCAACCCCAGTGCAGTATTTGCACGATGCGATGCCCATTCATTTAAAATTATTTCAGAAACTAGCACTAGCTCCTGAAACCTGCACTCGTTCTTCATTAATTTCCAACCAGATTAACGTTTTCATGAAAATTTTTATTTCAAATACTAAGGTGCTCACAAATTTCCATAGTAGCGCGTCTGTCTTTCGAAATTTTTGGAAAAATTTAATAAAAAACTAGGAAAATTCTTCTGAAATAATAAAATTTTATGTTATATTGAATAATAATGAAAACCGTATATTATTTCCGTCAATTTTATCGAGTGTTTCTTAGAAATGTGTCTCTATAGGTTTTTGGTTTTAAACTTCTCGGGATATTATACCTGATAATTAAGACATTTATGTAGATACCTATATATTATATACAAGGTAGTATATGATGGGGAAGTAATTTATATTTAAAATTGTGGTTTATTTATTGAGGCTTTCCTGTTGGACTTATTTATGTACAAATTTATTAATGTATGCAGCTTTTCTGTTCAGGTTGTTTTGACCAGGTTTTCCGTAAAAACTCGTTTTTTTTTTCGAAATTATTTAGACCTGGGGCCCTCCACTGGCGTGTCGAAAAAATAAGTAAGATAAAAAAAATGGTCAAAAGCCAGGATTATTCATTCAGAATTTCAAGAATAATTTACGATAGAGTAAAATCCCAAAGCCCCTGACGAAGATCTCCATCCGGATAGAAACTCTTCTATCCTGTAAAATCACGTCACCTCATTGAATGACTTCAAATAGGAACATTCCAATACCTGAAATGTCGTCACCCATTATGTGACTGAATGCCAAATGATGCGGGTCAAAACTACGAACCAACAATTACCTGCTAATATCCTTGCACCTGTCGTCATGTGATGTATATACTCAGTGGTGTTATTGGGTGCAAGACGCATTGAAGACTAGCTCAAGGATAGAACCGAATCCGGCTTACCCTTTTTTTTCCCCTCGATGCTCAGAATTCTGGTTTTGGCGAATCCTTGATGGGGACATCACGAGTTGAGACTAGAGATTTTTTTTTTCCGCTCCAGGAGTCGAGCTGGTCGATCCCAAAGGACCCAGGGGAGAACATCCGGCAATTTTCTTTCACCACCCCAACGTAAGAAATTAATCAATCCTGACATTGAGGGGAGATAGAATCTCCCTTGATCTTAAATACGCACGTCGATATTATCCTCCTCATCAATATCATTAATTCTTGGAAATATCGACTGCCAGATCTCTATATAAAAATTCCATCGTCTGCCCAACAATTTTTTATTTCAGATCCACCGAATTAATTAATTCAGTGGCGAAGTGGTTAACGAAGTCTATTACAGCTATTGACGAATTTTCAATGAATATCTCAGAATCTAAAGAAGATAGCAACATTTTTAGGAGAATCTTTTTTGTTCATCCGAGTGAGTGCTATAAAAAATGTTATTACACAAATTACGGTATTTTCCTTAGATTCACAAATATTGCTCAAAAACTCGACCGGGAAATAAATCAATTCATGTTCCTTTACCACTTCATTACTGAATTAATTACTCCAGGAGGAAATTATAAAATTAAATAATAAATGATGAGAATCATCGCGCAATTACCAATTGAAATTAAATTCCATACGCTATATTTATATTAATAAATCCAAGTATTTAAAAATGTTTTTCATTCTATCAAGATTAATTATAAATATAATTCACGATCAGACACATTTGTGTGAATTTCTCGTGGAAAATTTTAATTAGTTATAAATATTATTATTTATATTATTGATTATTAGATTTGTTCGGTAAAATTTGTTTTTATTGCTAGGCATCGGGTTGAAATGAAGAAATAAAATCGATACTTTTAAATGAATTGGAGGGATTTTCCTGGATTAACTTCCAAAAATAATAAGTGAAATCACGTGTTCCGCTGAGCTAGTTTCAGCCTCACGTTTCATTTAAAGTACCTAACAAATCATCATCTTGTCCTCGATAGCAGACACCTATAGAACACACCAAGTCCTTGGTAAACCCATCGATGGTAAAAGTTATTGACCGACTCTACTCTTCAACTGCCAATCTAAAACCATTCGTTTTTCATTAATCCCCTCTCATCCGATGATTAAACAACTCTCCCTCTCCGAAAATATCTAATTCCAACCTGTACTGCCCCAGACGAATTTAAAAGCCAAAAAATCATTACCAAGAGAAATTTCTTAATTGATATCCAAGAAACTGGGGCAATGGACCACTCAGACCGGAAAGATTCCTTGAAAAATGAAGAACAAAGTGTTGAATCGGATTTTCTCTGAATATTCAATGTGAATGGGTAATCCATCAAGTACCAAGAAATGATTATAAATGAGGGGGACGTCATCCTCGACGGTGGAAGTTCCACGGGTTCTCCATTCACTCAGCTGTATCGATCCGGAGAAATAGAACTCCAGAAATAAAAATTATTTATTATTATTTATTTATTCTCTAATATTTCTCTTTGTTTTTCTACCCCGTAGAATGACGCTGTCGTAAAAATTAATGGCTTTTTAAAAAATGGTTAATGGCTGCATCACAAGACCCAGAGACTCTCGTTGGTTCGCACAAAGAGGGACGCGACCTTCCTCCGTCTCACTTCGACACTTTCACTGAGTCCCGTGACTCGAATCCTCGTGACTTCAAGTCCCGTGACTTCCTCTCAACACAGATCCACACATTGGCACATCAACTCTAACACTAATATCAATTTATCGTTTTACCTCCCCCTCACCCTTCCCCTTCCAACCATCGCGAATCCCCCCATCGCCTCCCTAATGCCCACCATTGCCTTCCATTCGCGCCCCCCATTACTCCGGGAACAGAAAATGTAAAAACAAAAAAACGGAAAATCCGTTTTTCTTGGGTCACTGGAGTCTGAAAAATTCACGAAATTTTCCATTTTTTCCAGAATTTTTCTGAACATCTCGTGGAAATTCCGCGAAAACTGGCGAAAAGGCACTCTGATGTTTCCGAAAGGGCATTTTACCTCAGGATTACGGAAAATCGGGGAATTTTTCGGGGATCGGTATCTCTGTGTGCGGTAATTGTTGTGAGTCATTGAAATGATAATTGGAAAATACCGTTTTTCCGGGAGTTTAATTTATTGTTAAGTTTATTATGACGTTTAGTGATTTGGTTTGACGCAATTTATGATGATGGTTTGGCACTAAAAAACACGATGAGATTTCTGAAATTATATTTTTGTCATAGGAATTATATTAATATTACATTATGCTAATATTTTTGGTAGAATTCTCAGCAAATATTTTTGTCAATTTTCTGGGAATTGATCAAATTTTTAATTAACAAGAAGAATTATAGAATTAATACTTAAAGCAGTCGAGGGTGAAGTCTTTCCCATTTTCTAAAGAAAAAAATCATTAAAAATTCCATTATATTTCATTAGAATTCATTATTCCATTGAATAAAGAAGATATGAAGGGGAAGAGAATGAAAATCGAATGAAAGAGGATGGAACTGCAAAGACGATTTAAAAAACCTTTTAAGCAACGAAATAATTAATTTGACAACCAATTGACACTTAAATGTAATTGTGATGAACAATAATTAAAATCGGCAACAACTTTCCCGAAGTTGATTTCTAACCGATTTTTCGCTAATTAATCTATTATTCACCGCCAATTTTGTAGAAATTTAATTCCATATTAATTATCACTCTATTTATTGATTCCTCAATTAAGGAATGAATTAACACACTCCCTTAATTTAAAACTGCGAAATTAAAAGAATTTATTTAAAAGATCGGGGTCAGCCCCCGAAGACAATAAAACGGACAATCAGAAAAAGACAAAAAAAAAACTTGAATCACCTGATTAATGCACCGTCTGAACTCTGTGGTGATGCCTCATTAACCCAGTGGTAATATCCAATTTGAGACAGTAATTCGCAGAAAAATGTGAATCTTCAACGATAAATAAATAATCCCCCGGAGTAGTTGCAAACCCACTGGACGGGAGTGCGATGGGAGTAAATAAAAAGCCCTGGTATAATCTCCCAGGCATCAGAACAGTTCCACTCACCTAGCGCATCTCATCAGGGAGCAAATCCGAAAAAAAATACCTGACGAAAAAAGAGAGAAAAAAAAAGTCTTTTTCACCACGTGACTATAAATGCAAGAATTTTAGTGGGAGAGATGACTCGCGGTTGAGGATAAAAACCGTGGATTTCGCCCCCTACCAAAAAGTCGTGCTCCAACACTCGGGTTTATCGGACAGTGTACCCCCAATACTTGCAACGTGCCACTTGTTAATTTTCACTCTTTTTTCTCTCTCTTTTTTTAATTTTTCTTTTTTATTTCGACTGGAGAAGGAGGAAAGGAGCGTGAAAGAGAGTGGCTTTTGGTTGTCCGTAGTTGCGATCGTACTCCCTCCAGGGTTTGTGGCTTTTAACTTCCCATACCAACATTATTCCAATATAGTTGAGGCGTTTGCCTCTCCAGTTTACTATCCGAGTTCACTCCTCTCAGGCTCAGTCGGTTCTGTGATCACCGAGGTGTCAGTTTTTTTTTTTTTTTTTACAACCGAGTGGATCCCAGGAACAATCGGTTTCGTTGGAATCCTCATGTTTTCCGAGTGGAGCTTCATGTGTGCTCAATAGAGAAAATAAACCAGGGAAATTGGAGGACGAGGAAAGAGAAAGGAAGGGGTTCATCTTCGGCTCGAATACTTTCCCTTCTGGACATCATGAGGACCCATCGCCTACCGTGAGTCTTTATTCGTTATTATACTGGAAAATATACGGGTTTAAATATCAATAATTATTTATTTATTGGTAATTAAGAGAGAGGAGAAGTGACTTTAGATTCTAAAGTTTAGAAGAGCAATGATAATTAGAGTCATGATGCTTCAGGGGAGGGGTTTTCGCCGAGGAAAGGAATAAATCCATTAGAGAATTTTAATAATTCAACATTTGTTGGAATATTTTATTTATTCGGCATTAGTTCTCGGTCTTCAATTATCGCTTGTCGGTTTGTCCACGTGCGGCAATTGCTGTGGAATTCTCTCCGAAATTTTACCCATGAGTTTCCGGACATGTGCGATCCCGAAAATATATATATATATTCACGTGTTCTTTGGAATTTATTAGGAATTTATCTGCGTAAATGTTTTTATATATTGTTTTTTAATTGTTTAGATGTAGTTCTCGGTTTAGAGAACGAAATAGACCTGGAAATTTCACATTTGTATTTTTGAAAGGAAATTCATAATAATTTGTAGATACAGAAGAAAAATTATCAACTGGTTTTTTTTTATGTGTCTGTTGGATTTTTTTCTGTAATAATTTCACGAGGAGAATAATTGTTGTTAACTGTATTTGTAAGCTCTAATTTTTATTTGATGTCTTGAATAGATTTTGGTTTTAATTAAATTGAAGTTCGTTACTGGAATAAATTACCGTCCTAATGACTCTTCTCTGCGAACAAAATCCCTTGAAATTGAGGACAATCTAGGATTTAATGACAGGTTTATATAAATTTTTAATGAACTTCCCGATTTTCGGGGAATAATTGAAAAGAAATTTCGTTAACATAAATTTTCCTGTGCCATTGAGAATTTTGAATGGAAAATTTCTTGAGACTTCACTCGCCATCTAGTCTGCTCGAAGTTTCCAAAAAATCTTCATTGTTTTGAAGATGATGAAATCCCTGAAGACTGAGAAGAATGATCGCCATTTTTAATTGATTTTTAAAAAATGGTTGAGCTAGAAATGAAAATTCAGAATGACATCACATATTTATAATAAAAAATGCCTTGAAATTTCCGTTGAACGTCACTTACCAGAAATGTCCGAAAAATTGCCTTTCCCAAAGGTGAAAGAATCCCTGAAGATTAAAAAGAATTTAATTTTCTACTATAATCAAAGAAATAATTGAGCTACAAATGAGAATTCATGATGCCATCCCAAATTTCCAAACAAATTCCTTTTTCTCAAAAGTAAAACAATCCCTAAAAATCGGAGGAAATTTCCTCCATTTCCCCTCATTTTTCATAAACTCCAAACCAATTCCTTTTTTTAGTTAGAAGACTCCCGAGAGAATAGAAAATTGGTGGAAATTACCTCAATTTCCCATTATTATTAACGAAATACTTGCGCTAAAAATTGTAATTCAACTTGCAATTCACTTCAACAAAAAAAAAATGCAATGAAAAAAAAATGTTAAAACCCCACCAAAAGATTTGCACACGAGAAACTTACCAGTGGCTTACCAAAAATTCAAATGAAAAATTAAGAATATTGTACACGGAGTAATTTTGTTGGGACAGGTCAGGGTCCTTCGTCCTCAAGCATCACCAGCTCACCGCGAATTATGCAATGAGTTTACGACGATAATAAGTGTTTATCCAACGGTGAATGATAATTAGACCAATGCGAAAAATTCATGGGTGTCAGGTATAAATTTCCCAGACTAACTGATCATTGCAGCAGTCATTACCCAATGAGATTAAATCGTATTTTCGGTTGAAAAAATGATATTGCGAATATCGGGAGAGCGAAATTGTGACGCAAATCGATGGAGAAAATCGATTGGTCTCCATCGACTGCTCCATTAATACTATTTTGTTTGGAGTGTATCACGTGCCATCCCGCTTTCTCATCGCTTAAGTAATACTTCATTACGAAAAAATAAATGGGGGATACCCGCGAGTCACGCGGAATACCGGGAGAAGGATTGAGTCAAGGATAACCGCATTGCAAGCTCATTATTTTCGTCTCTGACCATAAATTATTCGATTAGATTGGCGATCCCCGATATTCATCCTCATTACGAAGAATTTGGCAAAATCAATTATTTGGGATAAAAGGGGGGAGGTCGACCTTGATGGGTCGATCGTGTACCCGGAACTCGATTTTTATTCGTCTAGTCACGTCGCTCTTGCAGAAAAAAAAAAAGTGGAGAACACTTTCACCCGCGTCTACACACACAGGAATTCAGTCTTTATTGGAGTTTTTATTCATTTGAGAACAATTATTCTGGGCAAGTTCTCACGGTAAACATTCTCCAATTATTTTTCCATCGATTTTCTGTTTCGCTTTATTTTTAGAATAGAAAAGTCAGCGTGATGAACTTATTCTCTAATGATTTTTATGTTCAGACTGATTTTTATTGGAGAATTGAAATTGAAATATTTCAATTTCTAATTAATGTTATTAATTTATTCAGTTGTAATTCGCTGCTAATTTTTCAACGACTTTTTCCATTAATTTTCAGTTTTCTTCCGTTTTTTCAAATGGACAAAATATATAATTCCAATTTTTGGAAAAAATAAAGTTTTATCCACTCAATCCAGTGCATTACTCATGTATTTTTATTACATAGAATGAAGAACCGTACATGAAGATTATATTGAATATATGATTATAGATTTCGCTGAATAAATTATTTTGCATGTGCCCCCACAATGATTATTCATTAGTTTGTGCGAGACGCGTCCCAGTTACTAGTGCAATATATTGTTGCATTAACGTGGGTATTGACGAATAATAATGATAAGTTTATTAAAAGTAATCTAAATGCGACATGTCCATTTACAAAATATTAGATAAAATAATGACGAGAAAATGACATGAACATGAAATTGAACGGATCAAATGAAAAATAGGGAGTAATAAATTTTTTTGAGAGTATAAAAAATATTAATACGAAACAGGTCACCTGGATTCTGCCGAAAAACGTAGAAAAAATGGTTGAATAAAATGTAGACCTGATTAAGCAGTTCCTGGCTCCGGTCGATTTCTCTTTCGGTTTCCGTTGACCCACTGACACCCAAAACCATCCTAAAATTACCATTTTTTAAAATGAAAACGAGCCGAGGAGTTCCATTCATCTTCGCAGGTGAATCTACTGTCGAGTGACTACACCCTGGAGAAAATTCCAGGAGCTGTATATAATGAGAGAAAAATCATGTCTTTGAGATGAATATAAAAGAAAGCAAGCGCTAGTATTTGATCTTGCTCCAGGCTATTTTCATTCTCGAGTGTCCATGCCCCTGTCCCTGGCCTCCGGCAACCTTTTCTTCAATATATCCACCGGTTTCCTTACCCTGGGGCAATCATAGCGACCCACTATTATCACTCATTCCTCGAAATATCACGAATTTAAACTCACGATGCAATGGCTTTATGAGAGATAAATTGAGGGTTTTTAATGGCTACGACCTATCAACTATTCCTGATAAATTTCTACTTGTTAATTCAGCCCATTCAACACATCGTACTGGCTTTTTTTTTATTTCGGTGTAATGCATTGTTTTAATTCTCAACTTCCGGTGTTTTGTCCGTTGTAAACTTGATAATTGCCGATATATTTTCATGAGTTCAGACTTTGCTTTGATGGCAAGAGGTGAAAGTGATGAGACTCCACTCATAATGTGGTTTTTTTTTTATTTCCAGTGCTGGTGCAGTTTTGCTGATTGGACTCTTCGCTGTGACCTGTCAGGCATTCACAGCTGGAAATAATGTTGATTTGAATGGTATGCCAATTTTCAATGAATTTTTATTTGTCATAGGGGATTAATTTTGAGGGAATTAGATAGAATTAGATAGAATTCAGATCATCAACTCAATCACTCTTTCATTAAAATTTATTGTAAATATTAAACAAAAAATCTAGATCCATAATTGTAACATGGTAGGATACATGAGCAGATTTGAATCAGATAGATTTGAATAATTTAAATAATAATTATTAAACAACAGGGGAGAAATCTATAAAAATGATAGAATATTGAAATTTGGTCAGTTGTCAGTAATAATGACTATTTAACCCTCACTGGTGTGGAGTCTAATTGAATTTAAGATTAAATCGTTTCTTAAAGGTCTTATCCATCCTGAAAATTTAATGAAGTTCAGGATTTGCAGGATGAGTGATTACTCATATTTCAAGGACAGCTTAAATTTCGAATCTAAGAAATATGGAAATTACTTTTGATTGATTTTCCAATAGCTAGACAATGATTACTTGAATTTCTAATATTTTTAATGATTTTTGCTATCGTATTGATCCGAAAATTGCAATTGCGTTAAATTTCTTGTTTGATTAGCTAATTATTTAATAAAAAGCTGGAGACTTCATGGAATTGTAGAAAATGATTTTGCAGTGTAATTGTTAATTAATAAAATAAAATGAAATAAAATAAAATAATAATAAATAATAAATTGTTTCGTAAATTCCGGGGAAAATTTCTTTCTATATGCAGAGTGTTAAAGTATGTCGAGTAAAAATGTTCCAAGCCCTTACTCTCGTTGAATCAAGGAATGAGAATAATTGTTTCAATAATTATCTTCTGGGGAACTTTTGGAAAATTCGAGGGGAAATTCCGCTGATGTGCAACTAAGATGGATGTGCTGACGTAATGTCAATTAATGACTGCGTAGGTTGAACTATTACGTGCTGCAAGGCACGTCTTATCGTTCACCTCAAAAGTACTTCCATGCGAATTATGCGTAATCGAAAAACCGTACACCTTTCTCCCGGGCATCGTACACTCTCAAAGGAATTTTCATTTTGTCGGCTGCAGACTAAAAATTTTTAGAGTAGTATCTCAAATTTTTTATTAAAATTCAATTAAATTCCTAATCTCAGCGTTAATTTTTATTCTTGTTTTTTTGTTATAAAAATTAATAGACATTTATTGCGATATTTAACTACTTTTGATTGTCATCAAATTCAATTTTGGAACACAATTACACACGTGATAATTTTTGGTAATTTTAACCTGAGCCTGTGAGTTTTATCATTTTCTGTGGATTTTTTCTTTTGCACAAATTTGTTAAACATTTGTATCTTTTAAAAATTATTCTTAAACTCAACGTCTGAGTAAATTTGCTGTAGATTCATTTCAAATTTTTAATTGTCAACATTTTGTGTTTAAAAATAAATTCCTAATGATTAGCTTCTTTTTAATTTATCTCTCCTTACAATTTACCTTTGATCATCCCTTAATAAAACATCTAAGACTTCAGGGCCACGATTGCATTTCCGATCAGGTCCACTAATTACCTGTACATTAAATATTTCGTTTGTGTGCATCCATAAAATAGAATAGTTCCTTGCAACACTCGAATGGGAAAACTGTTTTTCGATTAGCACTCAAGGTTGTGCTCAATCCCCCATTTCCGAATGACTTTCCTTACGACATGATGTGTAATCGATTCAGTCACATCCTCATTCCCAAAATGTATTATAGAAGTGACTGAAAAGGGTTGTTTCCTCGGAAATTCTCAACTCCCGAAAGCAATAAAAAATTTTAAATTGAATTATTAATTTTCTAGAATATGTTTATGGCATCGATGATGATCTCCAGGCCCGAGCACGTGCAGCTATCGAGGCCGAGCAACATGCCTTTCAAAACAACTGGTAAGTCATTGTCCTTCACATCTACCTTTTGACCATGTAAATAGGTAAAATGCCAATTTTCGAGGTAAAAAATTTCATCAAAAACAAAGGTCAGCGATGATGTAGCGTCCGCAGGTGAAACGCAGGGTGAAACCTGTTGGATATAAAAAGGAGGTTGGCATGCTGAAAGGTTTACTTCAAATCTCCATTTGAAAAATTCATCGAAAACAGGCGGGAATTACCGGCTCAACGGGAATCTCTGGCCGTGAAAGTGAAACTTGTTCTTCAGGATGAAGATGACGTCAATCCCGAGGGTGTAGTGCCCAGTGGAAAAAAAAACTCCGGGTGTAGAGCTCAATCATTTATTTCCGGATGCAAACCCTTTCCAATAAAACCCTTTCCAAACTTTTTTCTCCACTCAATACATCTGCCATTGCAACTACCACTTCATTTTCTGAAATCTTTCTCCTCCACAGTTATTTTTTTTTTGGTAATTACATATTCTAAGAATCTCTAATACCTGTAAATTATTTTCTAACAACTCAGGCAATTGCTGATTTTTTTTGCATTTATTTTGCACGAAATTACTTATATTGTGTCAGAATTCGGTTGCATTGAATTGATCTCTTCAAAAGATAACTTTTGTAATTTTTTAGTAATTTTTTTTATGCCTGGGTAGATGTACGGAAACTTCCCTTCTAACAATAATAATTGATTTCCTTGAGTACATGAATTTCTTCTTCTGTACATTTCTTCTCTTCGTAAGGTATATAATTCTCGGAATTCGTATTGATTATGTTCTCTAGGGAAGACCCGGGCAAAACGGGACGTGAGGGGAAAATGGGACATAGGATAAAATGGAATGCGGGCAAAATGTGATAGATCAAAAGGTTTATTGAGAAACGAGAAGAAAAATCGATCGTAAGAATCCATTATTCAACATTTCAGTTTTTCCAGAATTTTATTACACATGATTGATAAAAAAATATGAAACTCCCATATAAAGAATTGCACGATCAGAAGCTAAAAATAAGAAATTTAAATTAGATGGCGTAGTTTTTGAGAATATTGAAAAATCGTAAAAATTAGAAACCAACAGTATTATTTAATAGAAACAATTAAATTAAAAAATTGAAAAAAAAACACTGGGAATGAACTAAAAACGCTTTTCCACAAGTGTCCCATTTTGCCACCATCTCCCGTTTTGTCCGGGTCCTCCGTACCATTTCAATATAATAGAAATAATAGTATATATACTATATATATGTAATATATTCGTTACATCGCTGGGCTAGCGTAAAAGAGGCTTCAAAAAACGTTGCACTGAATTTTTAAAAAGGGGATTTCACTTAGTTTTGTAATTCAATGGTAAATTAATTCAGTTTCCAGAAAAAATTCTCTACAGGCGCTATACTCCCCCATTATTTGTATTTAAATAACAAACTGCAGTATTTATGTAAGATGGCAAAAAGAAAATATTTTCTCAATATTTACTAAATAGTGTTTTAACTCTGAGAATAAATAATTATTAGCGTAAAAAAATTGTTGTCTACATTTCATTATATGGAAAATTTCACTCCAATAACCCACGAATTTTTGCAATGGCGGTTCTATTTTTTTTATTTTTAACGGGATTTGTGTGGCCATTGCCCAAGGGCTTTCAGCCAAGTATTTATATATTATATACATAATAGGGTCGAGTAGGCCGTGACTCCATTTAAACTTTATTTCTCATATTTGCAGGAGGCAAAGTGGCTTGAAAAAGGCATCTGGTGACTGCATCGACACCAGGGAAAGCCCCTGTCCACCTTCCAAGTACAGGACACCCTCTGGAGCTTGCAACAATATCAGACATCCGTCCTGGGGAGCGAGAGGATCGCCTTACCTCAAATTCATCTCTCCGAATTACTCTGATGGTATTAAAATTTATTTAAACCTCTTGCTTCTCCCTCATTAGTCTAGTAACGAAGAGGTAAAAGGAGAAGTTTCTCCGAACTTAATGGTAATATCCGAAATTCTTCAAGACTTTTTTTTACAGAGCAAATTGAAACCTATAATAAGGATTTCAACAAAGATTTAGCTGTCTGTTATTTCCAGAGATCTAATCAATATCTAATTGAAAATATGTAAATTAATTTTTTTCATTTTATCGCTTTTATTACTTTCATTACTTTTATTGATTGAAACTTCAGGTGAAGTTTTATTCGAATTACAAAATCTCGTGAACCATTAAATAACAATAAAACTTGAAAACGGTCGATTTTTTCACGTCAATTTTATCAACCGTTTCTCAGAAATTCGTAATAAAAAACTTGACTTGAGAAGAAGTTGTATATTTTAAAAATGACGTGGCAAAGGTTCCTGAAATTTTGGAAATATTTACTCATGATCAGTGCACCTGACGGTTTTTTTTTTGAAAATGTCTTCTTCATCACGGTATGCCGAAAAGTGACTTTCCCGCACATTGTGGTGAAAAATATTGTTCGCGACGCGTGCAGAAAGTAATTTTTGACATGTAGGATTATACCGAGAGGATTATACAAGCTCTCAGCTCGTGCGATAGACGAATTCACGTTTTTTCATTGAGACTTCGACTTGATTTATCCTGTTGTTAAAAAATCTAACAGTATTCATGAAGAAAATGGTCAATTACGCCTCGTCGTACCCAAAAATAGATTGTTCAAGTAACTGTCAAAGTAACTGTACCTTAATTTGATCAATGTGCTGCCGAGTTCTATTACTGTGGAATCCAACACCCACGGGGTATTCCCCTGGCACGTGAAACGATTGATTGACAGAAGAAAATCTCCAGTCAAGCTAGATCAGGGGCATTAACGTCATTTTGAAACCGAAGAGACACGTTTGAAGAACAAAAACCCCTGGAGATTTGTCTGGAAAAGAAAATTTAGCCGATGAAAGTCTCACTTGGAAAAATAGAATGGGGAAGAAAGAAAGTTGGATCCAAGTGTGTAAATGTGTGTACGAACTCCTTGAGCTCGCGGGCACATACCACTCTGCGTATCGGGTCAAGAATGGAAAGTGAAAATTGGAACGTATATATTTCACGTTGGTAGAATTACCAGCAGAGCTCACCTTCACGCCTCTCCTCCTCCTCCGTACATCCATCAAGGCTTATATTTTATTCATATTTGCTCATTCCCATTCTCCAACAAACAAAAAACATAGTTAACATTTTGCAGAAGCTGTGCAAAAAATCAGGTAAAACTGTACGGATTTTTTCGTTGATTCGGGTAGAAGACATTGAGATTTTCGAAAATTTTTTCTCTGGTATTTCTGAATGGAATTAACAAGTTGAATAAAAAAATGATTACATTGTTTCTATTGCGAGCAACTAATAGACGAATAAATTAAGGAATGGATTGATATAGGATAATGGAGTTAGAATATTTTAACGATTATTTTTCAAACTCGAATTCCAGGTAATCGGAAATGGAACGAAAGAAATAGAGATAAAATGACGCGAAAATCACATTTGAATGGATGACCGTTGCGTTATTCATTCCTGGACCAGCCAGTAATTTTCCATAAATATTATATAAAAATTGAATTTCATTCTCCCTTTACTCCAGATGATTTTCTTTTTCTAATAACAAACAACATCCGCCATAGTAAATAGCAAGAAAAGTAATTCTTTAAATACACATGATCATTGTAACTATTCCACAAAGTGCAAAACCTTCTGGATTCACTGGTCATTAAAATTATAATTTTAACTAACTATAATTATAATTATAACATTATAACTATTTCCAGGCATATCCCGGCCTAGATCATCATCGTCTCGGCACTCCCTGCCGAGTCCCTCAGAGATAATCTCTCGTTTGGAGACGTCACCCCTTCGTCAAGGGCTGCGAAGAGAGGAGCGAAAAAGCTTGACAGGTCTAGCAGGTCTCTGGGCTGAACTAGTACTCCGAGATATATCCTCTCCAGTTTTTCCAGACCTCGACCTGTCCAGGTGCTGTCAATCCTCTCCACATGCTGAGTGTTACCCCAGCACAGAACCCACAGGTGATTGCAATCCCTACTACAGGAACGTCCCCTCAAGAACTGCATACGGCTGCAGATTCGAGGCTCGAGAGCAGATGAACGGAGTCTCCGGTTATCTGGATGGCTCTGACATCTATGGCACCACGGATGACAGACTCCACAAGATGAAGAGCTATGTGGCGGGCCAGGTCGACCTGTCAGAGTGCGAGGTCTGTAACAGCACTAGGAAAGTCGGGGCACTCTATACTCTCATCCTTCACGAGCATAATCGTCTTGCTGGAGCTCTCAGTGCCCTCAATCCTCACTGGGACGATGCCAAGCTCTTCCTCGAGGCGAGACGCGCTGTCCTCGCACAGATCCAGAGAATAACCCTCCAGGAATTCGCCTCCAGCATCCTCGGGGAATCAGACACTGGAGAACTGGAGCAGATTAACTCCGGGGCGTACAGGGGCTACTCCTCCAGTAATCGAGCGGGTGAGTTTTCATTTTTTTTATTTATTGTATATTTAGAATACGTGTCATTAATAAATAAATAATAAAAAAAATAAATAAATAAAATACGGGCAAAAATACGGGGGGAAAGTCACCTGTTACTTCTCACTCATATTTTTCACTTACTTTCAAAAGTTTATCATTTTCTTGGGAAATCCTAGGATTTTCAGCTTCAGTGGAAATTGGGGGAAGACCTGCATGTTATATCTACCGAACATGATTATCGGTTTGAATTTTATGTTACTGTAAAATATTTATAAATTTGGGTTTCAAATTGTTTTATAGAATCTATTCCAATGATTATAAAAAATAACAATAATAAAGAGGAAAAATTATTGAACGGTGAAACATCCAGATATTAATTCCAAAGTTTACAGAACAATAATGGAATTTATTACAATTATTAATAAAATTAAATGCAATTGTCCAATGCAGGTGCGTTTGACGCAGTCGCCCTGGCAGTCCTCCCTGCGCTGACCTCACTGTCAAGCCCTTTTAAATCGAAAAACCCCCTGGAAGATGCCTTAGAGAATCCCGCGAGTCCTCTGTCGCTCGACGTCCTCTCCTGGAGCAATAACAACTACTGGAACGCATCGGCATTGTTCCTGCAGACCGCCAGAGATCACGGGATCCCAGGTTACACATCTTTCTTGGAGCAATGCACGTCAGGCGCGATGAGCAGGTCAGGATTCTCCTATATCTAAAAGTTTCTCTGAATTATTATGTTTGAAAACCGTAAAAATTCGAGAATTTTCTTATACATTTTTCTCTGTGCAGGTACATGCGCCCGGAGGACAAGGCTCTATTGGAGAACATCTACGGGAGGACGGAGGACGTTGACCTGTTAATAGGAGGGGTTCTGGAGAGGCCGAGTGAGGGTTCTGCAGTGGGCCCAACATTTGGCTGCCTCCTGGCAGCTCAATTAGCGAAATTGAGGAATTCTGACAGATTTTGGTACGAGAATGATATGCCACCGTCGAGCCTCAGCAGCGAGCAATTATCGGCATTGAGAAGAACCAGCCTGGCAGGTCTCCTGTGTGCGAACACCAGGATGTCGATGGTCCAGCCGATGGCTTTCCTGCAGAGTGACGCCTACCTCAACGCCAAGATCGATTGCGACAGGCACAATTCCCTGGACTTGACCCCCTGGAGGGAGCAGTTCGACGAAGATGACGATAGGATGGAGAAGCCCAACGAGGACGACGACTTGATTGATATCCAGAGGAAAAATGAGAAGATCTCATCGTGGCGAGGAGAGCCCGAGTCTCTGGTGAACGCTGAGATGGTTGCAGCTGCCCTGGAGAAGGCTAAGCAAGACCTCATCGAGAGGAAGCGTTTGGAGTACTCCTCGTGGCTCCAGCAGAGGTACGCAGATCCAAAATCCCCAGCAGGTATAGCTGCCAGCTTCTCTAAAGCTAATCGAGATGCCCTCTCTCTCGCAAACTCCTCGATCCTCTACGAATTGGCGACCAACGAGCTGATCAATGGAGCCCAGGGTCTGAGGAGGAGAAAACGTCAAGCCTTCGACAGCTCAGACAACATCTTGGGATTCTCTGGCAACGATTTCTCTGATATTCTCCAGAACGTTGATGTCAGCAACTTTGTTACCAATCAGAGACCAATTGATCCCAGTGAGATAGACTGCCCTGTGGAGGACGGACCATGTGATCCCACTACTCCCTATCGAACCCTCACAGGACACTGCAACAATCTGAGAAATCCCAGATTGGGAAAATCCCTGACGACATTTGCCAGGCTGTTATCATCTGTCTACGACGATGGGGTATCCAAACCCAGGATTAACTCAGTCCGGGGTGGACCTCTACCCAATCCCAGAACCATATCCACCACGATGCACCCTGACATCTCCAATCTTCATAATCGTTACACCCTGATGATGATGCCCTTCGCCCAGTTTCTCGATCACGATCTCACCATGACACCCATTCACAAGGGATTCGCCGAGTCTATCCCATCGTGCAGATCCTGCGACTCTGCACGAACTGTTCATCCTGAGTGCAATCCCTTCCCTGTACCCCACGGGGACCACTTCTATCCAACTCATAATATCACCTCTGGAGAGAGACTCTGCTTTCCCTCGATGAGGTCTCTTCCTGGACAGCAGAATCTCGGCCCTCGAGAGCAGGTCAATCAGAACACTGCGTTCCTCGATGCTTCGGTTATCTATGGAGAGAATAACTGCATTGGAGGGATTTTAAGAGGATTCAATGGACGCATGAATATTACCAGTCATCCTCACAGACTAAAGGATTTGCTGCCTGAGATTACGACTAATCCTGAATGCAGGTCGGCGTCAGGGTACGCTGATTTTTATTTCATCCATTCTGAGAACTTTTCACATTTTTTAATTTTTCCCTTGCATTTCCGAAAACACAGCAAGGAATAAATGTTTAATTGACAATCCGGTGAAATTTCATTGATTTTTGTTATTATATTTCTCAACTCCAATGTAAAAACCCAAGGGTAGACTGAAAGCCGCGTAGGATGGATTACATTGAAAATAAGAAAAACAAAAACTATTCTGAGGGTTTATGAGAGAGAAATTCATGTTTTTCCCTAGTAATTGGATTTTATTTCCTGCGTTATCACAACAACACTGAAAAAGTTGTATTTACGAGTGAATTACAAGTAGATAAATATTGGCGAAAGGAAAATTAAAAAAAAATGAACTATAAAAGTAATAGCTGAGCAGTCAAAGATAAAGAAAGAATGCAGAATTTCTCTTCACGTACTTGCCATGTTGATCTAGTTACTCAAAAAAGTTTTTAATCTCAGGCGCTGCTTTTTGGGAGGAGATGGACGAGCCTCAGAGCAGCCCTCGTTGACAGTGATGCATACTATGTGGATTCGAGAACATAACAGGATTATGGAGGGCCTGAGGAGAGTGAACCCTCACTGGGACGGTGACAGACTGTACCAGGAGACGAGGAGAATCGTCAGTGCGATGATGCAACACATAACTTACAACGAGTTCCTACCGAGAATCCTAGGATGGCACGCTGTGAGTCTTTATGGGCTGAAGCTTCTGAATCAGGGCTACTACAGGGAATATTCGCCGACCTGCAACCCCAGCATCCTGACAGAATTTGCCACAGCAGCTTATAGAATAGGTCACAGCCTCCTAAGGCCACATCTACCCAGGATGGACCAGAATTACCGTCCAGTAGATCCTCCCATTCTCCTGAGGGATGGCTTCTTCAACATGGAAATGCTCTACAGGTCAGTGTCAACCAGTAATATTATTTTTTCGAAACATTAGTAAAATAATGACAAATAAGAAATTTTTAAATATTTAAATGTTACTTTTTATCTCTTCCTTGATAGTTTGAACATGGTGGACGAGATGACCAGAGGACTGGTTTCAACTCCCATGGAGACCCTGGACCAATTCATCACCGGGGAAGTGACGAATCATTTATTTGAAAACAGAAAAATTCCACACTCTGGTGTGGATCTCATCGCCCTGAACGTTCAGAGGGCAAGGGATCACGGGGTACCTGGGTACAATAGCTACAGGGCACTCTGCAATCTCAAGAGGGCCACCACCTTTGAGGATCTCTCCAGGGAGATGGCTCCCGAGGTTATCGCCAGGTTGAAGAGAATTTACGCGAGTGTTGATGACATTGATCTCTTCCCTGGTGGTATGAACGAACGGCCTCTTCAGGGGGGACTCGTTGGCCCTACTTTTGGTTGCATCATTGCCATTCAGATGAGACAGCTGAGGAAGTGCGACAGGTTCTGGTATGAAACGGATGATCCTAATATCAGGTTCACCGAGCCACAGCTCGCGGAAATCAGGAAGAACACTCTGGCAAAAGTTTTGTGTGAAAATATGGACTCCCATGTGGAGATGCAGAGGTCTGTCTTCGACCTGCCGAGCAATTTTCTCAACCCTAGGGTACCCTGTGGCTCTATGGCACACATGGATTTCAGCGCTTGGAGGGAGACACGCAGCACTGGGTGTCAGATCGGTGGAAGAAATGTTGCTGTTGGGGAGAGCGGATTCCCCTCGCCATGCACTAGCTGTGTCTGTACGAATGAAGGGGTAAGTTCCACGGTATATTTTTTTACTTCAATCTGGCCAATAGTTTTCCAGAAATCGAGGAAAAAATATAAAAAATGAGAAGATAACGATAATACCTTCTCAACTAAGCTTCAGAAAAATTCATGAGTTATGCGATTTCCACTATTATTCAGCTAGTCATCGCGTTTTGAACGTAAAAATATAATTTATATGTTTATTGCTAATTATCATCGCATTCGATCGCATCTGACGATCATTTTTTAATAAAATTTGGATTTTTTAATTCCATTGAATTGATCAAGACTTATCGACGAACATATGCCGAATTACCCGCGTCTCATTTGGGAAAATAGTTATTCCGTTTAAATAAAATCCATGATCACCTTTATTACCCTTGCAAGTACTCATGTATTCCTTTTTCATGTACACTCTCATTAAATACGCCCTCCAGAATAGCCAAGAGGAAATAAGAATAATAAAAAAAGTGTTTAATATTGGATTTTCAAATTAATATTAAACTGACTAGATTCATTGACGCGCAAAGTAGTTAGCGTGTCCTGCTCGTTGAATAAATAATTAGTGCCGATGCCTGGATGTGTATGATTTGTTTATTGTTTTTGTTTTCAGACCCAATGTGCCTCCCTGAGAGTGACAGATTGTGCTCAACTACTTCGTGAAGCTTCTCGCGATGCCATTCTGCGAGACGACGTTTGCACCGCCCAGTGCGGCTTCGCCCTGGCAGCCACAGACTCATCATTTCGACAATCATTCCAAAGTGCATCAGCATCCGCCTCGGCATCTGCATCGGCATTCGCCTTCTCGGGTCTTGGATCGAGCAATCCTACCTCTTTCAATGATTTTAAACTTCCCGACCTTTCTCAGTTCGTTGGATGAAAAAGCAAAAGGTATATCATGAAATAATCGAGCGAAAAGCAAGACATTCATTACGTACTTGCAAATGTAAATATAGAGCGATAAAGTGTGTATGAGTATTTTTATAATTTTGTACTTTTCATCATTACGATTATGCGAATTCACTGGGAAATTTTTACACTCCTGATGACTGAATGAGTTTTTGAATTTCCACACTTTGAATATTATGTTGATACTGCCAGGGACTACTCAAATGTACAATTTTTTTATGAATTTATTATTTTTTATTGATGGAGATATTGAGCTAATTGCTTTCACTTTATTCATGTTCAGGGGGCTGTATTCTAATTTTTCAAGTTTATCAGTTTTATATTTAGGATAAAATATTGAAAAAAGAAGAGTCATGTGTATCATCAACTTGATGAGTGGTGATGCCTCCAAATTTTTTAAAGTTGAATCTATTCCCACAGTTTTACTTCATTCACGCTCATGGGATGGTATTGTATCGTTTCGAATTTATTAATTTTCTATTTAGTGTAAAATATTGAAAAGAATTTTGTATACCGTTGACTATGTTTTTGTTCCATTAAAAATAACTTTTTATTGTTTAAAAGAATGCGCTTTTTCCACTTCCCACTTTCTAGTAAATTCAAGGATGTTCTACACCCTTCCCGTAAATATTTACGTTTTTTCAATTTTTCTGCAAAACTTACGATGCGATTAGCGTAAAAAATATAACGTTTTCGCGTTTTATTATTATTTAATGACTCAGGAAATTTCAAAGTGGTGCGAAATACTTTCCTGCGACCATGTACATAAAAATAAATTTTTGTACTAAAGGAAAAATATTATTACATCGGAACTGTTTACTGTGAGCGAGAAATTTCGTGGAACCTTTTTTTTTTGGAAATTCAGCATATCGTTTCAAATTTATCGATTCGCATTCTTAAATAAAAAACAAGTGGGTTGAGCTGCTTTAAAAACTTCTATTCAATTACATTCATCAATTTCATAATAAATACATGGACTTACCGTGCATTTCTAAGCGAATGCACTTTATTAAATGCCTGTTTACTTATAAATTGGAAGCATTGGGGTGAGGAGGGGAAGGCGGGAGACTTGATCGATGATAATTGCACGGACTCGCTGAGATCCAATATTTACAGAGAATTTCATTGTCCGGGGACATTGAAGGTGATTTAACTGGCGGATACTTCTTGCTTGTTATTCATGGTGGATGGGTTTTCCTGGATGGTTGGAGTTTGCTCGGTACAACGCCAAAGGCCATACGTTTTTCCAACGGTTGTCTGCCAGAGGCGGAGGGTTCCATCTTCAGAGCCACTTGCGTACAATTCACCGTCTGGAGAGAATCTCACACAGTGGACGGGACCGAAGTGTCCTTTGAAGGATTCTAGAATTTTATTTATCACAATTACTTTCTTTTTCTTTGATTATTATTTTTTCCAGGGGAAAATCACGAAAGAGATGAGAAATATTTCAATACTGTAGAGCGAAAGCTTGACGAATTGATTAAAGAAAGGGTATTTTGTCCTCTTTTAGCTGAAATTCAGTTTTTTTTTACTTTCATGACAAATTGTTGATTTAATTGTTATTTAATGACTCTTGAGATGTTATGATCGTACAATAATCTTCCTGCGTTTCTTCCAAACTAGTTAAAAAATCGTAATTCATCCTGATAAAAATTTCGCTATCTCTCCTAGATTCCTAGAAATTTTTCAATTATCCGCGTCGTATTTAGTCTTTCTCTCTCATTAAAATGAAAAACTTATAATCGATACCCGTTGGTTTATTAATATAGAATAGTTTGAAGCGATTTTCTCACCGATTTCTGCACCAGATGTGTAATCGAATTTGTACATCTTGAGATCCTCTCCACCGCAGACGAACATGGTTCTATCGGGATGAAGACTGACACTGTTCACCTGAGTTGGAATAGTGAACTCTCGAATTTTTGTCAAGCTGTAAGTGAAAATAAAAATTGAAGGAAAGTCGAGGGTTGAATACGGCATATTGGGATAACTCACTCATGACTATTCCAAAATGTGACGATGTTAGCATGCGTTGTTGTGATAATGCTTCCGTCCTTAGATACTTCCATAGAGCTAGGTATTGCTGGGAAGTCCAGTCTGCGTGTCTCCAGGCCACTGCTTCTGTCCCAGACACGGAGGGTTTTATCGTCAGCACAGCTCACCAAGGATTTATCATGGTCGAAGAAGGTGACGTGCTTTATGAAACTTGTGTGGCCTGAAAATTTCTGGACCCATCGAAAAAGACAAAATATGCATAAATAAAATATGAGAAGATGTATTCAGTGCATCTCTTTGGATAAACCGGGATGATTTGACGCGTTTTATCATATATTCTTCAAATTAATTCTAGGAAGTAAAATTTCAATGCCTGCATATAGCGAACGTAATCTCCGGTTTCAATTTTATTATGTTGGTGTAGAATATTTCTTTTTTGATGTATCGAAGACTTTTGTTATCATCTACGGAGCAAAAATATAGAACAGTTGGTTGATGGAAAAATTCAAATTATTGAAACAAAAACATTTCCTCCCCTAAAAATTCTGAGATCGTGTCTCGGGGCTGAACCGAAAAAGTGCTTCTTTCATTTCCGTATTTTTTCTGTTTTTGACAATTTAATTACAATATCCGAGTTAAATATATTGAAGTCCCGGATTACTCAATGAAGAGATTCATTTTGCAAGAGTCATTTTCCTCCCCAAAGTACCTGAGGTGCTGCCTCGGGTTTATTAAGATCAAAAATCCTCAGGAGCTTCTCATTAGAGCCAGTGCACAGATGATGAGAATCAGTGCTGAAGCTGACGGACTTGACGATATGATTATGCTGAAAGGAGTGTATCTCCTCTCCCTTGATGGCATCCCAGACCTTGGCGTTGAAGTCCGCGGCCCCAGAGGCAGCCCTGGTGGCCTCTCGATTCAAAGCAACCCCCCAAACTGCTCCCTTGTGTCCTTCAAAAGTGCCAATCCAATCGCCAGTGTCACCTTGACGAAGCATGGGCTTTCCATCTGTCAAACAAATCACAGACACTCAGCCAAGTACTAAATAAAAAAAAATTAAAAAAAAAACAACAGAAACAAAACGAAGGCCCGCCCTGGAGGAATCACAATGCTGGGCGAGCAGTGACCTCCAGTTGACGGGCAGCTGGAGAGCCTTGGGGACAAGGAACTGGGCCAAGGCAATCAACTCCACTCGTGAGTGGAAAAAAAAAATCAAATAAATCAACGACCAATTAATTTACCCGCAATTTCCACGTACCTTTGCACGCTGATATGAGATAATACCCAGAATCCGTGACATCTGAAAAGGCGAGATGAACAACCGGTCTAGTGTGTCCACTGCAGGTCAACGGTGTCTGTCTGAGGTTCGCCATTGTCAATCTAGATTCAATTTATAGGTTAAAATGTCCAAAACCCGTTGATACCACCGATACCACAAGACACCACCGGACAATTACACTCTGGGAACCAATAGCACCGAGATTGATTTACCAAACTTCACGAAATCAAAGTGGCACCCGTCGATTGATTGATGAGTTAATTAGATTATGTCAGACGTCATCTCAAGTGCGTAGATCATCACGTACAGCTGACGAGCATCTCGTTCTGTTCTCTTACTCACACTCTATTCTCGTTGGTTTTTTTGATTTTAAAGAGCTTGGCTCTGAGCTAATTTAGCGGACCAATTGGTTTGGCTTTCAACACTTGGAGGATTCAAGCGGAATGGCCGGTTAAACCGAGTGGCTAGACAGGAAGCACGAGTTGAAACATGGCGGCCTCGCTTCAACCAGCCCCCACTATTCAATTTCAAATGGCCTCAAGACGTTTTCCCGTTTTCATCGGCATAACCAGAGTCATTTTCTTCTCATGGATATATTTTCGAGAGGATTCTATAGTCTTCTGCATCAAATTACCACATGGAAAATATTTTAAAATCGCAAGTCTGCAGCGATGCAGTCAACTATAGAGCAAGTGCTTTTTTTTCGAGGCCAGTTTTCAGCCAATATCTCCGAATTGGGGAAGCACAGCGAATTTTTCATTCCAACACTTTTTATAGAGAAAGATGAGAGCTACAAAAAAGGTATTTATAGAAAAATCGTTATCTTCCTTCAATTTCGAGATATTGACTAAAAATTAGCCCGGAAGACAATACTTATCATTTTAGGTAATCATTCCGTGATCCGAGAGAAGCTCGACAGTTTCAATTGCTTCTACCCCAATTGAAATAAAAAAAAAATTAATATTACCTTAGGCTCCCTTATATAATACTGTGTTTATGTATTATGGATGTATTTTTATGATTCACTCAATTATTCAAGTTTCAATAGTCGTGAGAGATTTTCGCGTTTTCTCGGGTTATTAATTTCGAACAATTGGGATTGGTATATCTCAAATTTCCCTAATTAATATAAAAAAGATTTGCGTCACATCTCTTGAGATATTTTATGTTCTTAATGTATATTCTTATTTACATTTTTCATAGTACATATTTTGCCCAATATTATTGTGTATATTCGTTTAATTATTCCTGCGAATTGAAGCATGATTTAATTCCTCGCAGATTGTGTGACCTTGAACCCAATAATAGAACATAGAAAGAAAGAAAGTTTTATCGAGAGGCGAAAGGTACCTCAGCACGACAATATCTACTGATTACCGGTCTATCGTAAGTAAGAACAAAAAAATCACAAATTAATTTAAAAAATCAACATTTTATTGGAAATCCGATGCGATTTGATATTTGATAAGTCATATTATATTATAATGCAACATTAATATTATCTAAAATCAAAGAATTCGCCAGATTATCAGTGAAACTCGGAATTTCATAATTTCATGATTCATCTTCTCCTAAGTCGTCCCCGAGGATCTGAAAATTTCAAGTCAACTGTAATTTAATTTTGTAGCAAGCAAACCTATAGATAACATTGAATGCCTCATAGCTTTTTTTAATGGGGGTGGAAATTAGGAGATTGCGCAAGTGCGGGGGTGATTGTTGGGGGGTGCGTGCGCCGTGGAAATATTCGTCTCATCATTATTTCGGAGCTTCAGTGCTTTGACCTGTGGCAAGCAAGCACGATCCCGATATCCTAGAGAACTCAGTGATTCGGTGGAAACATCCCAGAATTTTCGATGATTGTTGTGAATTATCGAATGGAAAATTAGCAAAAATAGAAGATAATAAAACAGTGGATTTTGGTAATTCGAGACAGCGGGTGGTGGAAATAATCGAAATAATTGGGTTGTTGGGGTAAAATTCGAATTGTTTATATTTGTAAATTTTTTGAAACAGCGGATAATTAGAAAAATAATTAGAGAAATAATTGTGAAGTTGTGGGTGCGCGCATACGGGGTCAAGGGCCACTCGAGGTTGAAGTGGACCTCTCAAAACCACCGGCTTCTGGGTGACGGTAATAAAGAAGGAAAATAGGAAGAAAATAGGAATAGGAGTTCACGGCCTCTTCAATATGCAATGCTTGTTGCTCTTGACACAAGTTTTAGGGCTCTACTTCAATTCCGGGGATGCCGGTGAGTAATGAGTTTCCGGCTGTGGGATTTTATGGAGATAGAATTAATTAACTTTCAATTGAATTCAATATGTTCCCACGGGTGCTCCAATTCCACGCGTTTTAATGTAATTAATTGATATGCAGAAGGTTTATGGGGTGAGAATTGTTTGCTATTTATGAGCTCTCTGGATTTCAGGACCTGCACAGGAGGTGATTGTTGTTAAAAAATGCGCTGTTAATGGCACTGCGTATTATCATGGACAAACGGTAATGTATTTTTTTGTCAGGCTGGATTTTTTATTTTTATTTTTTGTTTACTCTTAGTTATTACCATGAGAAATCAAAATTCCTCGGTAATTCTCAGGTTTTTTAGTCTATTTTTAGCTCGATTTATTGCCACGGCGTGATTTATTTGATTTATTTATTGTTTAATCCTTCTGATCGCCTCAGGATTGGATGAAGGACTTTTTTAATTATCGCTTTATTGTTATTGTTTGTTTTAACAAATGAAACTGTGGTTTTCTTATTTACTTGGTATACATTCAGCGCCGATTTGTTAATTATCGGTTTATCGGGGAAAATATGGATTTCAAAGCGGAAACGTAAAAAGACTTTTATGTAGATAATTAAATTTCTCATAAAAAAGATCTTTTCGGATTTTCTCCTAAAATCGAGGGTTTTATAATTAATCAAGATTTAACGATGCTGTAAAATTCGATTTATGAATTTACATTATCATTTGAAAAAATCCGGAGTTAAATTTAATGGCGGAAATAAATTTGTGATATTCAATTGAACGATATCTCCAAAAAGAAAAATCCAATTGATTATCTGAGTAAACAATTAAATTTACAGCTTCAATTCCCGAAAAATAACTGTCGTTTAAAAATATCTGATTGGCAATTTAGAAGATGATATTTTTTACATGCAAAATGAAATTTTATTGAGATAATAAATTAGTGGTATTTACGGAGTTATTGCGGATATCTTTTCATTTTGTATGTTTTATACAAATTTCTGAGAAACGTTTGATAAAATTGATGTAAAAAAATGTATGGATTTTAAGTTTTATTATTTTTCAATGCTTCACGAAATTTCATTAGCTTGCAAGAACTTTCTTGCGTTCTCTGTAAACCTCTGCGAAAATTCCCAAACCAGTACCAAAAATCTAGAAAGAATAGACGAGCAATTATAAAAATTCGTGAGTCATTAAATAATGATAAATCTTACAAAACATTTTTTGAGAAATTAAAAATTATATTTCTAATCAAAAAACTAAATAAAATTAATTAATTGAGATTACTAAATATTTCTAAATTGAATACATCCTAATTTCAATTAGTTTTTTCAGACAAATTGATTCAATTCAATATTTACGACTCGCAAATGACATATATATTCGCGCCTATTTATTAATTTCATTTGTTAGTTTTAAAACCATTGAAAAAATTGTTGTCTCAGTGCGTCAATGTGATCAGGGGTTTTTCAGAAATTGAAAAAAAATATTAATAATATCAATAATTATCAATAATATCAAAACATTTTTTGAGAAATTAAAAATTATATTTCTAATCAAAAAACTAAATAAAATTAATTAATTGAGATTACTAAATATTTCTAAATTGAATACATCCTAATTTCAATTAGTTTTTTCAAACAAATTGATTCAATTCAATATTTACGACTCGCAAATGACATATATATTCGCGCCTATTTATTAATTTCATTTGTTAGTTTCAAAACCATTGAAAAAATTTTTGTCTCAGTGCGTCAATGTGATCAGGGGTTTTTCAGAAATTGAAGAAAAATATGAATAATATCAATAATTATCAATAATATCAAAATATTAATGATCAATAATTGCTTAATTGAATGATATGCGGGGATAGGTGTCATCTAGGGATCCAAACTGCCACTGCCTGTGCGTGGCTGGTGATGTTTATTGCTGGTGGGAAAACTACAATGCGCGGATTATTTCGTCAGATGAATTGAGGATTGTCCCGGATGAAAAGGAGTTAAGTCACCCGGTGTTTGTCGATCGAGTTGAGGTCAAGGGGAACGTAAATTCAAGTGCCAAGGGAGAGAGTAGGAATGACACCATCTCGCGACGTGTCAGTTGTTTCGTCATGGGTAAAAATATTTTTTAATTTTAAAAACCAACTCCATAGACATGATTCAACATCATTTTCATTACGACACGTTAAGAATCGAATTCTTCATTCTCATGAGAAAAAAACTTAATTTTTTGAGTCTTTTTGGGTCGACGTAAAATAAAAGATACTAGACTTAAATTTCAACGATTCCATTGCTTCTGTTTGGAAGCAAAAGGGAACGCAACAGAAGCGATCATTAATATGATTTTTTTCGGGATTTTTTATTGTCAAACGTGGAGAATTAAATGAATAAATCCCATGAGAGAGAAGTGAATTCACTCGTTACTCATTCTTTTAGTAATTCATCAACGTTTTTGATTCCAGGAAAGGAATACCAAGTAGGGGAAATTCTTCCTCATTCAACCGGAAATTGTGTGGAGTGCAGCTGTGGTAGAGAAGGTCATGTTGAATGTTCACCTCGTGATTGCATTGCCTTGAGACCAGTAGACATATCAGTTGTTGCTCCTAATTTCGATCGCGAGACCCCCGAGAATCAAATCCAACTCTTCGGTATATCCCGAGAGCACGGGATTGATGAGAATTTCTAAAAGAACAACTCGAAAAAAATACGTGCAGAGAAATTTCTTGGAAAAATTTAGTAGCGAAGATGTAACTAGAAGTTAATTTTGACTGTTGGCCAGTTTTCCAGGAAAATCTTGAAATCTAAAGGGAATAGCGAAATTTTCGTAATGACATTTTTTGTAGAACTAATCAATGGCTATAAAAAAGGTCAAGCGAAAATATTCGCTATCTCTATTATTTTCGCTAATATTCCCGGGAGAAGTCACTGATGATTCTTTTGAAGAATCCACTAGTTAAGAAAAAATGCGTTTCTGATGGCTTCTGGTAAATTTCATTGAGACATTGACTATTTAAACTCATATTTAGATATTTATACATGAGATAAGATGACATATTTTCGAAATATTAAAGGACTTTCTTGAAGCGATTAAATTTCCGCCAAATTAGGCCTTTTGATATGACCTAAAATCAATAGTTTTGTGACATAAATCGATATTCAATGGAATTTTGTTTATCTTGCATTAACACTTCACTCCTGAATTGTTTAAATAAAAGAATTTCTCTTGCCGTGGAATTTTCTAACGAATTTCTCTCCACGTAGAACCAACAAAAAACGGATAACGGAAAGCCGTCGTATTTCCTCCAGAAAAAAAAAACGTGCCTTAGTTCTTTTATTTTCATTAGACGGACGACTGGATGTCGATTAGATCGACATCGATTTCGTCGCGGAATTTTACCCCGCATTCGGTTTTGGAAGGTTTGAAACTTTCAACCGAGATCAGAGTAGATCTGTTCGCAATCAAAATACACACTGAGAAAAAAAACTAATTCTGCAAAATACTCATTCAGCCATGACTCGAAAATGTCCTCGATTGAATTTCCAATGGTACATTCATTCATTGAAATTCAAGAACCAGGTGACATGGATTTTCAATTTTTCTCTGAATTCTCCTGATTTTTTATCATTATCATCGAATAATTTTTTCACTAGAGATTTATGCAGAATAGAATAATTAGAATAAATTTTTCTCCATCGTGAGGAGCTTGAGATATTTTGCCTGAAATAGATTTTTTTCTCAGTGACGATCTTCTTTAGAAGGCGTTTTTATTTGTAAGTCGGTGTTGGAGTTGTTTTTTCAGTCGAACAGCAATTTTTGAAAAATATTCTTCAGTAAATCATGTAGGTGCTGTCATTGCGAATATTCGCGGTCCATCGGAGACATTGAAAAAGTGAATGAGAAATACGAATGGAAACGGAAAAATCCAATCTACGAGTGAAAGAGTCCTTTCTCCCGAATATCGAAGGGAGAACTTAACAAGTGTAACAAAAATATGTGACGAAACTATAATTTATTTAATATTGCAATCAAAAATTCCCAATCCCGTGACGAGGAATAAATCCAACTATTTCTCAATTCGAATCGACAAGGGAATGATGGAATGTTGTAATGTAAAGAGTGAGAGGAGTGATTCAACGAATCGTCAACATATCGCAGGAATAATAACACGCATTTTAAATCGAATACACGGAGATAAAAATTCAATAAAAGTTGCCTAGGTAAGGCTTCCGTATTTTTATTGAATTCAATCTTTTGACTAGCAATTACAGCAATTTTTCCATGAATTTCGAGTAATGTTCACGTTAGATTAGAGGAAAATTCAATTTTCAAATGAATCATCAATATTTTGTACGAAATTACTCGGAATTTTTATCGGAATTTCTCTGATTTCGATCAACTTTCAGGAAAAAACGGAACCAATTTTGACAGTTGTCATGATTTTGTTTAAAATTGTAAAGCTTCGGGAATTCTTTGAAATTTATGTGGAATTTTAAATTAATCTCAGTTGAATTCTTTCACAAATTCCTTCTTTTTTCTCTGAGTATTTTTTTTTCATTCGTGAAACGATGTGCGCAGCTAACTAATGGAATATACAAGCATTTCACGATGACCACATATATACAAAATATAATCGTAAATACTTGAAGTATATAGGAACACTGAATAATGCAGTAAAGGAAATGAAAGTTTCTTCATTTTCTATTTCATAGGAATTTAATATGCCGGTAGGTGCAATAAAAATGTAATTCGAAGGTTTCAATATCAATTTTCGAAAAAGTCTATTGTTGCATGATAAAGTGATATACCAAGCATAATCATATTGTAACTGTTGGTTATAAAATGTGATATAATAATAATAATTGTTAATAAAGGGACTAGTAATATATTACGATTATAAATATAAAAACATTCAATAGAAAATCGTCTCCATCTATTTTCCTCACATACCTGTGCATAAACGCAAATTTAAAAAATCTTTTTTCATTATTATTTATTACATTTTCTCATCTACAATTCAATAATTCAGAACATGCGATTGAAATATAAACTAGTTTTCGCCGTGTGGAAAACAAAATTTAATCTTCAGGAGTTATTGCTGATATGTTAACATTTCAAGTTTTTCGAGAAATAGTTAACGGGAAAAAATCTACCGTTTTTACGTTTTATTATTTTTTAATATTCCATAATGTTTTATCATGGTGAGGGAATTTTTTTACGTAATCAGCAAATTTTTGAAAAAATTCATAAAAGTTTGCTTTACTATCGAAGGTAATCGTTGGTTTGGATTTCATTTTGAGTTATTCCTAAATTCAAACTTCCTGAATTTGGGTTTAAAATAGTATTGCGGAACCCACTGCGATAATTAAATAAAAATAATGACAAGCAACCGGCAAAATTGTTGAAGGATGACAGATCGAGATATTGATTCCAAGGGACCTGGCAAGTTTGCAAAAAATAATTTCAAATACGCAGTTTACCAGCCACTGTGATGGAGAAACGATAATATAAAACCAAAATGGAGTGTCATCTGTTATCGACGATAAACTGCGTATTTTAAATTATTTTTCTGTAAACTTGACAGATCTTTGCGATCACCATCTCGATTAATACCTGCGCCTCTTCCACAATTTTTCCTCTTTTCTATAATTATTCTTTTAGAACCATTCAAGTGGTTTCCGCAATCCAATTTGAAACCCAAATTTAGGAATATTTTAGACATAATAAATATAATAAAATTCAAACCAAAGATTACATTAAATAATTAAAATACGCGGGCCTTGAATTTAAACTCAAAAAATTTACAAATCAGGTGCCCCGTTATCGACAATTCCTAAAATTTCATGATATATGTGTAGGCCGCACCAGAATAACTATAAATAAACTATAAAAATTGATTGTTAGGTTTCTATCGGAATATTTCTGTCGAGTGAACGCGTGGGAAAGCTTCGCCATTTCCAATAGAATCGTTGAGGAATATCACATCAGGGAATGCCTCAGGATTTTCCATTCGAATTCTTCATACGTCAGGGGAAATTCTGAAGAAAAAAAAAATGACACGAGCCCCAAAATTATCGGGTATTTTCCAATAAGTTCTCTGTAAATAAATGAATTTGGTTTGCAGTTTGCAGAAACTTTAGGGAAATACCCGATTAATTTTAGGTCTCGCGTGGTATTCGGAGGATTATTTTTCCAACCAAATGTCGACCCATAGAATGGCATCGTGACACAAAATTAAAAATCAGAACTTTTCAATCAACACAATAGTATTCTATCTGCCAAATTCGATAGGGACTAGGTGGACTGGCCAATCTGTTGTTTTTTAATATATATCAACACGAGAAATTACCAGTGAAATTCTCAAAAAATTATCAATTGAATTCCGTGTTGACTACATAAAAAAATCGAATGGTGCAATTCTATCGGTTGAAATTTGGATGGGAAAAAAACTCAAATCTTCAAAATCACCTGATAATCACGCAAATCCATCAGTAACAAATCTGAACAAATCCATCGAAGGAAATTATTGTGATTATCAATTACTATCAGTCATTATTATGACTGTCCACTGTCCCTAACCTCAATTAAAAGGGAAAACACGATTTTGCTATCAACATTTGATATTTGATAATACAGACAATGACAAGCGCGTAGTTCCGTTTGATAGAGAGAACTATGATTAGAGGTCTATCTGGTTGTTTATGAGAATGGGTATAAAATCGTCGTACCTCAGTACATGGTCTCAGTTACCGTTTGCATCAGCTGATGAGAGCCAACTGTTAATTGGAGGGATAGAATGGAGGAGAGCTCAGGGGTGGTGCAGCCATTCAGCAATTTGGATGATCTGTACAGGAATTTAAATAGTCTGACACCCTGGCCCAGGGGGGAATCATTACGATCATCTGCAGAATATGTCTACCCTGGAAACGAGCTGGAGAAATCCTCGGGAACCCTGACTAGACTCAATCGTCATGAACAGCCCAGGACCATCGTCTGTCATGACATGAAGGGAGGATATTTGGAGGACAGGTACATTTCAATTATTTGAGCTTCTAATTTCTCAGACCTCTCTAGGCTATTTTGGCTATTTTTTATATTGGAAATTATGTACTTCAAATGAGTTTTAAAATAAAAAATTCATGGGAATTCTCTGGGTAATTTACTGGCGGTAGATAAATTATTCTGTTAAATTGTTTCAAGTGTTGTTTTTTAAAGTATTTCTTCAGTCAGCTGTAGGCGTTAATAATTGTTCAATGTAGAAAGGATCTAAATTGAGATCATGTACAGCTTCTAGAACAATTTTTCATATATAATTAATCAAACATTTAATTTTTGACTTCTATAAAATTGGGAAATGCCTGTTTTCAATGTTCGCGCTGAAAAAATTCTGGAAACGTGAATTGTTTTTGTATTATTTCATTTTTAATGTAAATCATTTATGACAGTTTATTTGTTACTTTCACTGACTTATTTAACGAAAAATGTTGGAGAATTAAGAAAACAGGAGGAAGTAAAGGATTAAGAGTATTTGACAGATTTTGAATTCACGTTTTTTTTTCTATTTTTAAAGCATCAATTTTAAAATTGATTTAATGTAAAAAAAATGAAACATTTCTGCATTTTGTCATTATTTAATGACTCACGAAGTCTCGTGGTGGTGCCATCAATTTCATGCTTTTTTCCTTTAGTTTTGATTTTCTTTTTAAAAGTCTATACAAAATCGAGAGAAATATCCGCACCATCTGAAAAATTCGTGAGTCACTGAATAATTATAAAACGCGAAAAATGGAGCAAATATGAATTTTAACATAAAGGGCATAGAACATTCTTAAATTCCAGATTTTTCTTTATTTACTTCTTCCTTACAGAATCGTTATAGAATTCAATTCTGCTCCTCAGATTTATAAACGGATCCTCAGACAACACCTGCTACACGTTCTACCACTGGAGCATCATCGACACATTCATCTACTTCAGTCATCACATGGTGACGATTCCTCCCTTCGGTTGGATAAATGCAGCGCATAAACACGGGGTCAAAGTTCTGGGTACATTGATAACGGAGCACAAGGATGGCGAGGCGATTTGGGATGAAGTCCTGTCTTCCCCGGAGAAGACCACGAGGTTTGCCGACGCCCTGATCACTCTCACCAAGTTCTATGGATTTGAAGGGTGGCTGTTGAACGTCGAGAACAAGATCAAGTTGGAAGATATCGAGAGGCTGCAGTTCTTCATCAGACACTTGACCAACGGATTACGTAAGGATGTTGCGGATTCAGAGGTCATCTGGTATGATAGCATCATTCATGACGGCAGTCTTAATTGGCAGAATCAACTCAACGATAAAAATCAGTAATACCTTCGCCCACTCTTGAAATTTGTACTGCGAAAATTAAGAAATCATACAATCAATTTTTCGTTACGCTGTTCGAAATTTTTAATTGCAATTTCTTTTGTATTATGGATGTTGTGGGTTTCAACTTGATTGGAGATTAATTCGTGAATTAATTAGATGAATTATCCCATTAATATTGAAAATTCAATGCAAAAATGAAACAGTAAATTTATTTATTTATTTATTTGGTTCTACAAGATTGAATAGTCAGAAGCTAGTGACAGGTTCAGAACAAACCAAATCTAGAGAATATCACAAAGTAAAGGAAAAGGGAATAATAACAGAGAAAAAGAAAAGAAAAATAGGAATAAACTTACGAACAAGTTCAACCGAATATTGGAGAGATCATTTTAGATTTTTCAGTCGCAAAGTGCAGATAAATTTCATGTAAATTAGTTTTTGTCAACAGTTCTCTATTTTTGTTTTGTCTTCATTGAAATTTTTTTTTGCGTTTTGCTGGGTATTACAGACTCTTCTTTGATTGTTGCGATGGCATTTTTCTGAATTACAACTGGAATGACGAGAAGCTGAAGAGTTCTCGTGAAATCGCAGCTAGAAATGGAAGATTGAGAGATGTTTACGTGGGTCTGGATGTCTGGGGAAGAGGATGCCCTGGGGGTGGAGGATTCAACTCCATTCACGTGAGTTGATCAATTTCAGAATAGTAAACACCTTTGGCATGTTCTCATCAGGAGTGAGTGAGCATGACATCATGATTTCGTAATCAGAGAGAGGCATCAATTATTATTTCTTCATTATTTTTTAAACCTGTCATGAAATAATTTGTTTCTTTGTTGATCTCCGTTAAAAATGTACAACTACTCAAAATTACTCTCTTAATTAACTAATTAAGGGATTGTCCCTGGAAGTAATTATTTATTAACTTTGTTTACACTCTTTCATTCCAGGCTTTGGAACGAATAAGAAAATTCGAGTTATCAGTCGCTATATTTGCCCCGGGCTGGACACACGAGAATTTTGGTCCCTCGACATTCGAGAAGATCGAAAATATCTTTTGGGCGCAGTTGGCTCCTCTCTTGTACATCCATGTGCCCATGTACTATAACGAAACCTTTAACACTTCGTTCTGTCGAGGGTATGGCAATAAGTTATATCGATATGGAGTGGTACGTAAATCGTCAGATTGTGGAAATTAATTAACGACAAGAATCGATTCTACCCCAAAGGAAAATTATTTATTCCCCTATTAATTTATTATAATTGATTTACTCGTAGATATTATACACGTCATAGAAAGACTTATCTACCTTTCACTAATTTTTAATGGAATGGCGTCATATTTTTTTTTTGTAGATTAACCGACTTTTTTTTTCATTGTAATAAGTTCCCAATGAGTTCATTTCACTTATTTTTTATTTCTTCTGAATTGAATCTTTTAATCAATCACTAGTCGATTTCATTTGACATTCGCAGAATTACAAAAGTCAAGACTTTCTCATTTCTAACAAAAAGGGTAATTAATGAAAAAAAAATCGGTAATAATAAGGTACATAATCGAACTGATAAACGATTTTTTTAGTCTAAATATATTCCATCGTTAAACAATGAAAGAATTCTTTTTTTAACTAAATCTGATAGTAATCCAATGATTTCAACAAGGCGTTTATCATTTCAGATAGTTATTCTGTAATCTGAGGATGACATTCGACATTATCTCCTCAATCGCTACTGCTCCAATTTGAATAAAAACCTGACCATATTGCTCTGTACCCCTCAATATAATTTAATAAATTTGAATTCACAGTCGAATGGAGGCGGATCATTCTTCAACTTGACGCTGCAAAAGCCCCAGATCTCGGTGCCAGCTGTGCACCTGAAATTCACATACAAAGATGTACCAGAGCCCACACCCAAGAGCAGCCCAACTAAGAAAGTCCCAGAGCACACATTCGAGACTCTATTCGAAATAATTAAACTCCAGGGAAGAGAAATTTCTTTTTTCCCGAAGGACTCGAACGTCTCAGTAAATCTCACTGAATTCTGCGGTGAATTCTCGTACGGTGGAGGCGGTTGTCTCCAGGTGACGACAGTTCATCCCCAGAATTATCACAGGTACGATAACAGCAAAGACAAATTGGGATATTAGTTCTGTACTTTATGTCTATTAACAGGCTCTTTCTGACACATTTGGAGTTCTCGGAAGATGTCCAGGCGAGTTTGATACACGGCGAAAGTGAGGAGGTGCTCAATAATGATGATAATAGAACAAGAGCACCGACACTCGTGTTGATAAATAACAGAAGCAACACGTCCAACTTTCTTCAGGCGAATGGAACCTTTCAGCTGAACAGTAGGTGGAGGAAAAGGTAATTGAGCGATCAAGTTGGACTACAATTGAGTGCTGGAAGCAAGTGGCTGGAGTCGTAAAATCTACTTTATTTACTGCGAAAATATCGAAATAACTTGGGGAACTTCACTTTTTCAGTTATTACACTCCCAATCTTCGGATTATCAACGAGATCGCTGTGGCTTTTTCGTATGAAGGTCGCCACTACCTCGGGGAGTTGAAGATAGAACCAGTGCACCGTTTTTTCAATTCCGTTCTAAAATTGTCTTAACATTAACTCGTTATATTGTTAGAGAGATTTGTTATGGATAACTCATAGCCTTGTTGTTTTCTTTTTTATTTTCAACTAGTGGTGGTTATTATTGGCATTGAAATTTGCATTCCGCACAGAGAAAGGAATATCTACATCCTCAGGAAAAATCCCTTAATTATAGAAACTTCTATAAAAATTATAGAAATTATAGAACCAAGTGAGTTTTTACTTCAATCTAGTAATTACTCAATTATTTGAAGCGAAAATATAATTATAATTGAGAGTACCTAGAGGCAAGGGATTTTTCTTGGGAGCAACAAGTGTTTCTTCTCTATGTAGACTGTTGCAGTCTTAAGAAGTCAATTTCTATATTAAAATGTTGAAGGAATGGCGTAATTACATTTCTTGAATTCCAACGAATTCCGGCATTCAATTGTGTGTTGTATATACGATCAAATGGTTTCAAAGAGACGGCAAAATGTAAAAAAATGAATTTATTAAAATCGTATAATAAAAATTCTATTTTATATTTTCTGTTTGCCTATTATGAGGTAGAAAAAACTCACTAAATAAAAAAAAATGAGACTCAATTGTTCTAATCGTTAATTTTTTAAATGAATTATGTGCTTCGCTCACTGGAAGATCTCTGGAGAATGAAGTAAAATAAATGAAAACCGAGAGATAAAATAACGTTGTAAATCTTATTACTCAAGCGTATGCACAATCGAACAATTGGAATTTGTCACTGAAATGGGATGAAAAAATAGTGAGAAAACGGTGGGATCGCACACAAGAGAGTATTTGAGAAATGCCACCGGATGTCGTACCCCCACAGGCTATTGTTCATTCGTACCCACATAAAAATAACAAACAAAGATTATTCAAATGGAAATTGCCAATGCAATGAATGTCAACCGATCATTAACTGCTTCAGCGAAATAGCAGTATCGATTCGTGATTATCTCTGGCTGATGAAATGCTGTTCATTCAAGGGTACCCACCTACATTCCACACGAATTATTTCCATGCTACTTACCTCGACTTCGCACGCACCCTGTCCAGGAGAGACTTGTTTATTCAAACCGAGAAATTAGTGAGAAGTGGTTAACAGAATGTGACTATTTTTCATTTAATTTTCACTGGAGATACGATACGCTTTTCTACTCTGGTCCTCCAGTGCTGGAGGAGTTGCTGCGAAAGGGAAAATCTCTGTCAACTTATTTAAAAAATCGCAAGTACATTCAGGGTATTTAAATCAACGAAATGCATGTAAACAAAAAAATTATTTGTTTTTAATAAATGCAGATTGTCTCATGAGTTTTTTGACAAACTGCTGATCGGATTGCACCGAAAAATAGATCTTCTTTTACCTTTCATCATTATTTCTTCGAATTTCTGAGGAACGGTTGATAAAATGGACTAATATTGAATATATATAACATAATATAGTATAGAATATCATATAGACCTAAATAATAATAAAATTTTTACCAAAATTTCCAAAAATTAACAGAAAAATCCTGAAAATGAGAAAATACCGGCAATACCTCCCTAAGTTGTTAAATTCCGAATCGTTTAGATGATTTTGTTTGAAAAGCTGTAGAAAACGACGGAAAATCCAATTTTGTTCGACGACTAAATTAATTTGTCGAGTGAAATAAATTGTTTAATGAGTTATCGTTAGTAAACGTCCTTTCACTTGTTTCAGTGCGTCGTAAAATCATTGAGAACATTTTATTCCAATATTATGACTTCTCAATAACTCTGAATCGTAAATAAAAGGTACATTGTGTCACACTAAATATACCAGCAAAATACCTGCGACTTTCTCCATACCCCGGTCAAAACGTTTGATGAATTATTTAGCGGAGTTTACCTGTCAAATAGTTAGTGAAATTATTCCAGAATGCTCTTCCGCTCTGATTGTGCATTATGAATATTAATCAGGGCTTTTCATCATACGTAATAGAATCGCGATGAAAGTTTTTCATTTTGCGTTATGAGTTGCCACAAGGATAATATAAATTCGTTGAACATGAAATATATGTTTTTATCCGGTTGTAGGTTTAGCGTTAAGGTGTATTGAATTTATAAATTAGGTGGAATAAATGGATAAAAAATGCAACTAGTCCCTTCCGTGTTGGTAATACCTCTTTTCCTTTTTCCGCTCTGCCAATGATTTCGGATTTCCGCATTTAACGATTAAATAACTTTTTCTAGTAATCTAAAATCAATTCTCGTCTTCAGCTATTTCGATAAGTTTTAGCCATAAAATTGCTCTATTCAATTGCACGATTACATTTTTAATCAAATTAATTATGAATGTTGAGTAATGACTTGAGTGGAATATCGTGAACGGTTTTTACGACTGGGATTGCAATCACGCTGGAATCTTATTGAAATTTTTTGTGAGAGAATTAAATTCAGGCCATTAGAGCCGAAATTAGTATAAGCTCCAACATATTGCCAATTAAGGTACCATTAATCAGAGATTTTACTAATAAATGTCAACAAAGAGATGTTAAGTGCTACCTTATCATCAATAATTTATTTAATCTGAATTCACAACATAAAAGTGAATAATAATTCACTCATGAAAATTGTTGAATACATTTACAACCAGTAGTCAGACGTAATGGAATTTGAATTGAATTAAAGATGAATAAACATTCCTGTAACATTTTCAAGTGCTCATTTTTTTTCCGTGATTTTTCATTGGGTCGAATTATAGATTAACGTAAATTTCCACATTTTGCATTCACGATTCGGTTAATTTCCTGAATATTCTGGTAATTCTCAATTTTAAAATTCATTAAAAAATATTATTCCATTTTCTATATTCTTTTATTCCATATTTACAATTATTTATTGTATATTTATTAAATTTAAAAATCCAGTGGTATTCTTGAACTTTCATAATCAGTCTGAAAATTCAAGCTATTATTAAAAAATCAATTATCATCAATCAATGATTAATTATATCAAATTTAATATGAATGCTACATATTAAAATGGCTGAAGAACAATATTTTGATGTATATTCATCAATTTATTATCAATAATATATAATGATTTATTATTTATTTATTACTATCAATATTTGATGTTTTTAACAAAATTTTCAAATCTTTGAATAAGGAGGTGGTGGGGGAGAATTAAGGTTTGATGAAATTTGGTAATTATTAAGAGTATATGAAACTTGTATTTTAGTGAAGGTGAATTCATTGATGAATTGAGGATGCACATTGGATTTACAAAGAAAACTTGTCAGGGCCTCACAACCACTAAGCATTTCTCTCTGGAAGACTGGATGCTTCGGTAGAAAGGCGGAGAAACGTCTGGAAAAGTATCTCCGCAGATTGAAATGCCTCTTCAAGATGCCTCAACGATTTTCCTTGGAATTCCATCGGCAACTCATCAATAAAAAATTCCCACAACCAAAAGCCCATCAACTACTCCATCGCGAATTCATAATAAATGCGTGATTCTAATTAGTGCACCGCCGTGCGATCTTTATGGAATATAAAAAAAAACTCATATATGTACCGTAAACTTGCGATTAAGTATTAAAACTTTTCGTGGCGAATGCACGCGAGTCCCGAACCGCAACGATGTACAGTAAGGATGTGAAACTTTATGGTAAATATGAATTTACCGAGAATCTCGATGAAGTTTTATTTTTCCTCCATGCACTGAGAACAATTGATAGAAATATTTCATTTGATTTTGAGTAATCGTAACGCTTCGAGGAATAATTTTTCTGGCATCATAATTTTTTAACAAAATTTGCAGAAATGTATTCAATTTTTTTTAATTAAAAAACGTCATTTTGACTGGGAATAAAAATTTATGGCGGACTCTATTCATTTTTCACCTCTTCAATCTGGTAATGATGAAAATAATAAAAAAGTTAATGAACAATATAAAAATAAAAGCTATTCGCCACTTTTTCGTAGAAATTTTCGCAAAAAATCTCGCAATTGAAAATTTCGAATTTTCAAAAAAATCGCTGTGAATTATATATACGCAAAAAAGGGAAAACTTAATACAATTTTAAACTAAATATTCCTATTTTTATTAAAAATTCAGATGAAAAATGTTCTGCAGCTTTCCTTCCGTTCCACAGTCCCTAAAATTTCTCAATTCAAGCGACAAAATCCGTAAAAAATTATCGAAAAAATTTTTTTAAAAGCAAAAAATCTCAAAAACCGATAAATCCCGTCCAAAATCCCCAAAACGATTATAAAAAATTGCAAAAGCCAACGCCAACCCAGAACAAACAACCTAACAACAATCCCACAAATTCCGCGTAAAAAAACCTGCAAGATCAGTTCAAATAAACAAAACCGACATTAAATCTCGTAAAAACTCAACCATAAATAAAACAATTCCAATTTCTATGAATGAATGAACGAAATCCACTGCAGGTAGACGCTGCCCATACACATTGGCAGAAATATGTGAAATCGGTCCATATTTGTTATTAAAAAAAAAAAATAGCAGGGGGAGTTCACAATCCTAGAGCGATGGCATGTGCTCAACGCAAGTACAAGTACTTCACGTGTAAACACACTATACTATTTCCTTCAGGTGAATGCCTGTGCTGGTGAAAAAAAAAGCAGTACCAAGTGGAAACGAGAGAGATATATCAGCGGCATACAATCTAAAAAAAGAAAATAAATCGTGTATTACTCTGTACCCGGTAAATGAAAGAAAAGTTCATACGTACAACTCTTGATCGCGCTTTCGCCAATCGTTCGAAAATCCATTGAACGTATTATTATCCAGATAATGGAGCATAAACCTCCAGCCGATTCTTTTCCCGTTGTTACGAATTTATTCTCGTCCAGACGGTGATTTTGCACTAGTCCAAATGTACGTTGGAGTGATATTTATAATTTATGAATGAGGGAAACCGTTTTTTTTTTTTCTATGGAGAAAATGAAAGAAGTGAAAAGGATAAAAATTCGTGAGAATGGCCATCTCGGGGCTCTCTGGGCTCTTGGGGCTCTCGGGGCTCTCGGGGCTCTCGGGGCTCCTGGAGCTGGAATAACAATGATGGTAATGCGTGAGTTTAATGAGAGAACGATGCAATTTCAACCGATCCCACTTGTTTCGGACCCTGGGACGCCGCTTGTCCTACCTGGGACTCAGAGAACGCCAACCAGTCGTAGTCAGTCACTGACCAGGAGAACTATTCCGTTCTTACTCTCGAGTTACACTATTGAACTACAATCCAGCATCGATATTTCTGAAATGAAGAACAGATGTGGCCGATCATTTCAATATCTTCCACAAATTCGTGATTAATCCGCGAATATTGAACAAGTCAATCGATACCGATACCGATAATTAAATCAATTCATTACCTTACATTACATTACATTACTATTGCATTACATTAATTGATGCTTAATAATAAATTCAAAGTTTTCCAGTTACTTCTTGCTGTTTCTGCTGATGAGCGGTGAAATCGTTTTGCGCGAATACTGAATAGAGTAGTTTTTATTACATGTAATTGTCGGGTGTGAAATGTGGAAATTGATAATTGAAGAGTGCGAACTGAAGAGGATTGTCATAGAGAAGAGATATGGATAAGGGAATAGCACTGGATTCCACGGTGAGGAGTCAGGAGTCCAATGTTTCTGATGTATCGAAGAATTCAGGGGCCACTGGGGATTCCAAGACTGAGAGCTGCAGGGAGTCCAAGCACTCCAAGGTGGTGCTCATTCAGAAGAATTCGATACTCGAGGAGAGGGTTGACAAGCGGGATGAGGACAATGAGGAGAAGAGGAAATTCCAGAGGAAAGATGACAGCTGTGGTGACAGCAATGTTATGATGCTCATGTCATGTGGACAGTTGTTACTCGGTGATTATTTTTATTGTTTATTTCCAGTCTCTGGAAATCTTAAGCATTTTTTTATTCTACTGGCAAGCGTATCGTGGGATTACCGTGAAAAGTGTAAACTTTTTCCATTTGCTTATTATTTAATCACTTATGAACATTCAAGGTGGTGCAAACGTTTTTCTGCGTTTTTTCTAATTTTTTAAAAAGAATCGGAAAACTCTGGAATGAAACGCGTAAACACAATCGTATCACCACGGAATTTCTGAAACTGATCTATTAAATAATGATAAAAACGGAAACGTTGTATTTTTTGAAAACATAAAAAACGTGAATTTTACGTGAAAAGGTCTCGAATATCTTTTTTAAGGTAACTTTTCATAATGTCAGTGCGTTTTTCCCGAAATATTTCTAGTACTCCATGAAATGTAAATTCTATTTTTCGTGAATGCAAAATAATTACAAGAGAATTGTTCAAATACCAGAAAAATAGACATTCACACTGAAAATTACCTCTGACCAACAATTTGCTGCTCTCTGAAGGGATTGTATTAAAATTTCATTTAAAATTAATGAAATGTGACACAAGTAATTCAACGATTCCCATCCAGGATGATAATTTTAGAGATGAATGTGGGTATTAATCCCAAAAAATGAGAAATTCTTCATATTCTACGTTACAATTTTCTGACAGCATAGAAAAGAAATTCGCAGCATATTTCGCCAATATATTTAACGAGTAAGCTAAATGCAACTTTCACACTTTGTTTCAACTGTAAAAACCTCACGACATTGATAAAATCGATTTTTATTTTATTTCTTCAATGAAAATAATTTTTTTTCTTCCTCATTGCAATGAGATCAGACTACCATTAAATGAAGGATTTATTTCCCAGTTATGACTACTAAAAAATACTGAGCCACCGATTTCCCTAGATTTTCCATAAATTTCCTATATTAATAGAATAATTATTCGATTAGACAAGTAAATATTGAATAACTATAATATTTACGTAAAATTATTAAGAGAATAGAATTTATAATCAGTAGAAATTATTTATGGGGTTTTAATGGTTGTGCACGAGTCTTTTTAATTTTTCAATTAATTTAATGATTTTAATGATAAGAGCGTTTTTCATTAATATTGGGCGTCACAGGTTTTTGTGGAGGAATGTCACTCAATTTTTATATAATTGATCTCATTCTCGGGGGAATGTACTCTATCGAGTTACCGAACGGCTTTCTCATTTTTTTTAGTTTTAGTTTATGGGATTATTCTCCCATTACAGGGGCTTTTCAGAAACTGGTCGTTATATTTCGATGGCTTACTCGATGTGAATTTCATTCAGGAAGTTGATGACTCGAGACTGGATTGTGAGGGAGTTTTCAGGGATACCTCATTAATTTTCTGTAATGCTTTACGATCTGAGGATCTCGAGCGATCTCGACGACTCGATTACGACATGAGATACTGTAACGGATTTTTAATTTCATTTGCAATTTGTTCTTACCAGGGTTTCAACCATTGAGGATATTTTCTTCTCTAGCCACTTGGTACTCAGTCTCATTGAATTTTTTATTTTAGACGATTAGAAAGGGATTTTTTAATATGAAAAATATAGAAAGTCGTATTTTTTTTTACAGACTGACCGAACAAACATCATGATAACATTTTTTTTCTTCAATAAATGTAAATAGTTCATTGTGGAATAGTAATAATAATAATTCAGTGTTTTCATTCGTTTTAGAATGATGTTTGTCGAATTATAAATTTTTTTAAATCCAGACCAAAAAATCAAATCGCGATTTTGAAGGCTGAGGTAAATTCTTTGAAATTGGTAATTTGAGATTCGCAGATTCAATTCTACTCTCCGGAGTATTTTGAGTTGAAACTTTTTGAAGTCTCAACTGAAATCTTTCGTAAACTTAGTTTGAAATTCGGTTTTAAACGTTTTGAAATTTTTAACTCAAGACTGAAAGTTTTAACTTGACCTTTAGGAATGCCTCAAGTTGACACTTTCGTATATCTCAAGGCGTTAATCAATTAATTAATTAAGGATGCTCTACACTCACATATGCCACAATCGACGTTTGAAATTTTTTTTGGCAAATTATCAATGAGATTGATGTAAAAAAATATAACATTTTTGTGTTTTGTGATTCTTATTAAAAATTTATAAAAAACGTAGAAACATTTTTTTGTCATTAAATAATTTTCTGTCAAATCATGACATTTTTTTCATTAAATAATGACAAAAGCAAAAGTTTTTTTCATATTTTTTCACGATAAACGATAAGTTTACCAGAAAAATAAAAAAATACGTAGAACATTATTAATTAATGTATGCAGCTAATGAGTAATTACGAATGCAGGTCTGATTCTGGTGGTATTTGGAGTGCTGGTGCTGGTGCACGGGGTCTCATTGGGTTCATCAGGTGCAGGACTGTGGGCGGGTGCTGCAGCCCTCGTGGCAGGTGCCCTGGGACTTGTCGCAACTCTAGCCGACACAACATCAAAAAAATCTGGAGGCTCAAGTGGTTTTGCAACAGCCCATCTCGCCTCAAGTCTCGTTGCCCTCGCCCTCTCCAACATGTCCACCATCACTGCCCTGACAGCTCTCGTCAGAGACCTACGTTCCACACCTGACGATGTACTACTTCTTCCGGTAAGTCGATAAAATTCTCTCCTCTCGTTTACTCTTTATTTTATCCCCCAGAGGCATCATTCATATTCACCCGAGGTGGTTTGGCCTACATCCAGTCTCCATCTCCTCTCAGCAACTTCTTCAAGGCTTTTCACATTTTTCGAGAATTCCATATTCATTATTTACTCGAACAATTCGATAGCATCTAGGGAATAGGCTACACGTGTCATCATCGTCGTCGATAGAAATCGATGGGATTGGGATCAGAATGGGGAAAAAATATATTTGAATTGAGAATCGGTGAAAGTTCACAGCCAAGGCTTAATGCGGTCAAATCCCCGACTCATCTGTATGATGCACACTTTTTTTTTTATTTACATTCAGTTGATTTTCACAGTCTATTCGCTAGCTTTGTCGTTATCCTCTTTGATACAAGCAAAATTATTTTTTTTACCGAACCGATAAAATATATGCGCTAAATATATGTGACGTTTATGTGACATATTCCATTTTGGGTCGCACATATATTTTATATGTGTATATGTATATGTCAAATATATGCCGGATAGATGCATGGAACGTATGTATTGAGTAATCGCTATATATTTCGCGTATGTACTGTTTTCTGTGTGGTTTTAACTGTTGATGTGTCGATAAAAAAACGGTTTGCTTTTTGACATTCGGAAAAAAGGTTTCTGCTCAATTAATTCAAATAATTGAATGTAAATATTGGGAATGGTAATGCGTGCATTGTCTGCAATTGGTCAATTTATTTAGCAATAGTCATTATTTTCTGAGTGGATTTAGAGCAAAACGATTGAGACATGTCAAGTCACTTATGTATTATAGTATCATGTATTATACAAATTACTCGGAATATATTTCCCTGAATTTTGTTGTTTGGAGATAATTCTCATGGAATAGTTTCACTAAATTTACAGTCTCAATTTATTTTTGAATAAACATTTGCCTAAATTTTGCGTTAATGTTTTTGTCGTGAATTCCGTAACTCACTGTTAGAGATTTCTTGGAATTTCAATTACAAAGTCGTCTGAATTTTCAATTATGTAAGTCTGAATTTCATTTTAATTAAAAACGGTCAGTAAACTTCTCCTTTATCTTGAAAATTCAATAAAATTTGCTTTTTCCTGTTAAATAATAATTAATGTTTCAATGAAAGATGGGGCTTTCAAAATTAAATAAAATTCATCTTCAAAAGATTGAAAATAAAACAAATCAAAGACTAATAACTGAGAATTGCCAGAATATCCAATAAATTAACTGATTCGTGACTGAGAAATTCTACAGAAATTTCCCCACAGTTTTTGCCGAATTTCAATCATTTTTATCTATTAATGAATATTCTCCTGTAAACATTTATCAGAGCGAAGATGGAAAATTGGTAGAGATAGAGTCAGCATGGGGAGGTCTAGTGGCAAGTGTTGGACTTCTCCTGAGTAGTTTGGTGGAGCTACTTCTTGCTGGATATACGTGTGTCACACTGACCCCTAAACTCTGTGGATGTCTGAGTGAACAGAGGCATGAGAGTCAATTGGATAATGACCTGGAGATCGATGCCGGTGGAGAATTCGACGGTGATACTGGTAAATTGAAAACTAAAAATATGGTCCACCAATGGGTGATTGCTCAAACTCGTCCACCGAAAACACCTCCGCCTCCACCAACGCCCTTTTACGTCGTCCACCAGCCGATCATGCCACTGCATCCTATAATTCAGGTATAAATTATCATTACTCATTTATTTTTTGGCTCATTCAATGATTCGATAACCGATGTGAATTTATTCACTCGTTTGCGTTCTTCCAAATCCTCACATAATGAATGGCTATATTTTTTCTTTCTACGAAATTATTATTTGTGTTATACCCGTTGGTCTTTGTGATTTTATTAGTGAAGCGCATTATGTAAATTTGATGGAATCATTCCAAATTTTTCAATCATTAACATTTTTTTAAAAAAACTAGATGTAATGGAAAGAGGGAACATTTTTGGTTGCACAGATTACATCTTATGTAATCTATTTTTGAATAAAATTTACAATACATATGCATAATATATTTTATACAGGTACATATTTTTTTGTTTATTAGATTTGTTTAAAGAATTGTGGATACGTAAATTTCAAATGTAACAATTGAATTTCATTAGCTGAATCCCATCTGTTAGTTATGCATTTTCATTATAGTATGAAAAGTGTATTATTTAATTTATTATTATTATCCTATTATTTACTTTATAAAATATATTTTTTTGCATGTGCCGGCATATGATGACTAGATAAAAAAGGAAAAAAGAGAAACTTCGGTAGTTAGCTCGAAATTTTTAGAAAATTGTAAACGATTAGAAAGGAATTTTTAAATATGAAAAAGCAATGGAAAGTCCTATTCCCTTTTAAAAAAAGCAGGTTACGTTTTTTTGTCAGCTTTGTTCGGTGCATAGCTAAGGTATATATGTGTAAGAAAAAAAGAATATGGTATTTATACTTAAAAAAAAATTTTGACTTTTCAAATTTCAGTGAATACCTCCTCGATTTTCATGCTCCCCGATGCTTTTTAAAAAATTGTGAATTTTCAAAATTCAGTGAATACGTCCTCGATTTACATGTTCTCCTGATACTTTTTCAAAAATGTCGAATTTTCTGATATCTGTGAATACCTCTTCGATTGTCATGTTCTCCTGATACTTTTTCAGAAATTTCAAATTTTCTAATTTTAGTGAATACCTCCTCGATTGTCATGTTCTCCTGATACTTTTTCAAAAATTTCGAATTTTTCGATTTCAGTGAATATCTCCTCGACTGTCATGTTCTCCTGATACTTTTTCAAAAATTTCGAATTTTCTGGTTTTAGTGAATACCTCCTCGATTGTCATGTTCTCCTGATACTTTTTCAAAAATTCCGAATTTCCTAATTTCAGTGAATACCTCCTCGATTTACGAATTGAATTTAATTGCCGAAAAAAAAAATTATTTATAAAATTTTTTTCAGCGATTTTGGATGCCAAATGATAACACCCCACACGTGTGAGATTAGGCATTTCTGGGAGGCGCATCCACAAAAATTGGGAACCCAATTTTTTTCATTAACTGACATAACTCAGCATTATTTCTAATTTTTGACGTTTTTATTTGTTTATTAAGGCACCTTATGGAGCTCCCCATGGCAAATATCCTGCTCATTACATACCTACGTACGGTCCTGTCCCAATTATTCCCCACATGATGGCATCACCAGGTCGACCACCAATGCAACTGGTAATAACAGGATTTTTTTATATTCCCCTAAACTTCCTAAACAAAAAACTGAAAGCCAGATTAATAATTAATCAATAAGTTCGAAACCAGCAATTTTTCAATCATTCCATAAATCACTTTGAAATAACATTAAAATTAAGCAAATAAATATAGAACTTGATGAGCAATAATTACAGGTCCAGTATAATCATTTTGTTTTAATACAAACAATATTAATTGATCTGACAAATCATTAACAAGAAAATGAGAGAACAATATTTTTGATAGAGATTTAATCAGCAGAATTTAATTTAGCAGAAAAACTTTCTGAGATAAATTGGTAATTAAGAAAAATATTAATGAGATTTCCTCGAATCCGTCGTCGTATGTCGCCATTTGGATGTTGAGGTAATTGCAGATAAAAATGATTACGGAACCCGTAATTTCTTGCTAATACCTCGAATAATAGACTGAGAAACTTCTTTCTCCGAAAAGAAAAACTGATTTCTAAAGACAAACTAATCTAAAGAATCAATTTCCTCTGCAGTATCGTTCTCGAAGAACTCGTTATCCACCAATAGAGCATGAAGAGTTAGCAATTGACCGGCGACACCCCCGGGAAATGAAAAACCAGTCGCCGAAGCAGATGACGTCGATCGACGAGGATGAAAATGTTGGTGATTTATCGTGCACCTACACAGGCCTCGACAAAAAAATATCCGAGGAATTCATATCGATCTGCATGGATCCAGAGCGTAAATCCAAGGCGTCAAGTCATCATGGCAGTGAGATCGGTGCCGCGAGTGCGACAAAAAATTCATGAAAAAAGTACATTCCGTTAGTCGTACACCGAGAGACAAAACTTATTTCAACAAAAAGAGTTTACTTGTCACAAGAAAATATCTACTTGCCATTTTAAAACCGTCAAATCCCCTGATAAATCATTTTTCCTTACTTTGAGAGGAAAAAGTCATTCAAATGCACTACTCGAGATTTTTTTATGAATCTTTGATGGAAATCTTAAATAAGTTTTGAAAATCTTATGATTGAAAAAGCAAATATTGCATTGTTTTTTTCTCTGAAGGGAAATCCCTAAAACATTCGATTTTTCTATTCAATTATTCCATAAAGATCATGAAAAATCGGGATAGTTCAGGGAGGAGTTGGAAATTCATCTCGTTCTCCTTCTGAACATTGAATTTCATTTGAAAATTCGATCAAGTTCGGAAATTATCTTCATCCCAGTGAATATCTTTGAATTCTGGCTAAAAATTAAATTTTTATATCAATTCTTTATAATTCTTTATACTGTCCCGGGAATTATTGTCATACTTTTCCTGTAATTTCAGAAAATCAACACAGGACGAAACTTAAAGCCAGAATCTCTAAAAGAATATGAAAATAATAATAATCTCATCCCTGAAAGATTCCAAGAATAAAATAAAAATTGATAGAATAATTTTTTGAATTCGTGAATTTTCTTGACAAAAAGTCGTTTTTTCTCTCAGTGTAATAACGACCGATACAATTTTGTAGATACGATAGCCCATCTCTGATTTAGAGGAACTAATTCCACACGGATGTATAATATTAACAATAAGTACAGGTGACAATTATCCAATTTTGTTGAGGAATTTATTCCAGAATTTATTGTAATAAATAAATTGTAATTAAATGTTCGCTAGGTGTCAATGCTTGCATCGTAATTGAGATGGAGGCCGTGGATTTTTTCAGAATTTCGGTGATATATTCCTTTCAGTTTCTCCAGTTGTTTCTCCAGCATCTCTTGCTGCTCTGCCAACATTCGAGGGACTTTTATCTGCTCCGCTTTTCTCTGCAGTGCCAACTCTTTAAACCGCTTGAAGAACATCCTGAGGTTGTTGTTGTCAGACTGGAGCCGATGCAATTCACGTTTCAGCCATTGATTCCTCATGAATATTCGGTGGATCAAGTTGTTCGTGGGATCGACACTCGTTGGTGTTGTTTTCTCTTTCTTAAAACGCGAATTGCATGGTGAGAAGAAGATTCTTGGTGTCGAGATAGAAATTTAACACTGAGAAAATAATTACTTCTACCAAGGCAATTTATTAACGATAAGAGAATCCAGACGAATCAAATACTAACATTTATATTTATTTTAAATTGTCTGGCTGAAGTAGTTTTTTATATTCAATTTATTGAATTATATCTATTCTGTTAGTATTTTTTTTATAATTTTTGGAGAATATGACATCAATTTTATTGAGAGGAACATTGAAGATTATTGATTAAAAAAATGTTATCAGACATTTGACGAAATTTTTAGTTATAGTTTTATTTGATAATGACATACTATACTGATTAGAGTCGATAATTTTGACTCGTCCTTCCCATCGTTTTTCCAGTCGAACTTCGGAGATATTTTCTGGAGCTTCTCGAGTATTGTCACGGTTCTGTCCTTCATTTGCTTCGTTAGGTGAGTAAATTTATCAGTCATTGTGACTTGAGAGAGGTGCATCACATCGCCTTCATCTTGCACCTTCCGTTGAAATCACTGGGTTAGATTATGAAATAAAATCTGACCACAAACTGATGACAGACCTCCGCATAATTGGGGAAATTAATAAAAATTTCATGTAATTCGTGGAAAAATACCAACTCTGCAGTCCACAATGTCGTCAACTAGTTTCCGAAAATCTGCCAGGTCTTTCTCCATCACCTGAATTAGAATTTTTCCTCCATCTTCGACGAATGGTCGTAGGGAGAAGATGAATTCCACAGCTTGGGTTATTCTACCACTTTTCACGTCGTCTAGGATGGATTTTATCTCCTCAGGGTCAGCCTGGTAGAGTATAAAGTAATGTTTTCATTTTACAGCGAAGAAAAATAAGACAATTAAATAAAAACATTACCTCCACCCCTGATTCAGGATTTTTACGGGAGGAAAGGGACTTTTTTGCAACGCAAATTTTTTCCTCCGCCAAATTTTCATTTTACAGATTATATATTTTGCAAATAATTAGAAGGAAAATACGGGACTGTAAAAAAGATTTTTCTTTAGAAATCGTAAATCAAATTCTAATTAAACGGTAATAATTTTTAATGTTTATATTCTCCTATTGTGCTATTGTTTAACTAATTACTCTATTTATCCTTAAAAATCATATCGTTCTATTGACGTCAATAGTCAATACTCTACAGGTGCTCCAAAAAAAAGAAAACATCAAGTTTCAGACGAAGAGTACAGGTTGAAAAAAAATATATAGTCCATCCGAAAATATCTTTCGGTGTTTATAAACACGAGGTAATCAAATTATCTCGACTGTAAACAAAAACTCACCGAGAACTGTAGCTGTGCCAAGACATCCGGAGCTGGACACCTTCTGCCGTGACCTTGAAGTTGATTTTGTTGAATCCTTGTGTTTATGTCTCGACTGCAAGTGGGAACATCATCACAACATGACTCATCAATTTTTCCACGTTCATTGCGACTCCTCTTCTCCATCACCTGCTCAATTTTTCCACTGAACACAAGAAATTATTTTTAGTCAGGATTTATTTATTGGGAGAACTACAATTCATTTTTTCTTAAATCGTGTTGACAAACAGGAAAAAATACCGATCCAAAAAAGCAATTCTGCGGATCCGAGGTGGCATTTTATTTATTTAAAAAACCTCGTGACATTCTTCAATTTGTTTTCGTAAATTTTAATATTCATTAATCCTTCCCTCATTAATTTTCTGGGATAAAATAGAGCGACTGAATCGAGAGAGGAAACTGAAAAACATCTATGAAACCTACGAAATTGTTTATAAAATAAATAGGACGATCGAAAAACGATGGGAAAACCGAAAAATTCAGTATATATTACAAAATACTTAATATATTAAGGAGTACTTTCTGTCTAGTGCAATTACAACCATCGCAATCATCAAAAATTATTTGTTTCCAAGGATTCATTTATTTATTATTTATTATTTATTGACCAGTTATAAACTCGGGCTTTTCCATTCTGTTCCCCTTTCCTTCAACCCTCAACCATACAAGATAACATAACATTCGTAATCTCAAACCATTTTTAATGTTAATTTAACAATGACATGCATTACAGCGGCATCACAAGGACATTTCCTAGTGATTCCTGAATTCCATCTAGAATAACGCATTTACTTATAATTCCCCCACCTGAATGGTCCCCCAATGATCTCAATTATACATCAATAATGAAATTCTACGACTCTAGAAGATGGTTATGTCATTCATGACCTTGAATAAACTCCCCAAGAATTATCTATATGAAAGAATTCCACGAATGTCTTCCTCTAAAAAAATTTAGTACTTGAACATGAATAATGATCAGTGGAGTACTTCAAGGACACATTCCTTGATCCTCTAGGGCAGTCGCTTGGCCCTAGAGTCTATGGCATCCTCTAGAGCATCCTCTAGAGCATCCTCTAGGGCAATATGATGGTTATTATCAGAACCTGATGGAATCGCGAGGAATAGGCTGACCAGGAGAAAAAGTATTTTCAAGGAATACATATTTGTCTCAAATAAATTCTTTTTTTTTTCATACTGTATTTTTTCTGACTGCATCAGGCAGACCTGTCCACTACATCAAAAGACTCACCATGATTGGAGGAAAACTGCAATTCCCGCGATCGGAGGTACTGCGGTTGGTTATTCTCTGGTTTGCGTATTTTCGAGACACCAGCGGCAACACCGATGCATTTGCTAACCAACCAGCTGATTTTCAAAGATGGCTGTCATTGTACAAACAAATAAAGTTTATGGAAAAACGGTCTGATAAACACGTAGTTGCAACGTCGACGGAATAAAAGCGTAAGTTTTTTTTGTTTTTCCATTATTTGGACGTTTGAATTGAGTTGGATCATGTATTTATGGGGATTGAGGGACTTTTACCTGGGGAATCCGACAAATTTTTAGCTACTTTGGGAGCCAATGGTTCACCTTACCTGACCTGCTCAATACAATTTACGACAATCTTTTGGCATGATCTTGAATAAATTGCCAGTTTTTTTATCTAGTTATTCATTTTTTTAGTTTGTGGAATTTGAGAGAAATCGCGGGATTTTTCAAGCGACTTGTTGAGGTGAACATTTTTTGGGTTGTTTATGCATGCATTCAGGCAATATTGCGATTGAGTATTTTTTATGGCCTTCAGGAGCATGCGAGCAACATGCGAACTTAGGAAGTTCCTTCAATTTTTACAAGACGGAGTTGTTTCATTTGTGCGATTCTCCGAAGAATTTCGCGAATAATCGCGATTTGTTCAGAATACTATCATAATTATTCATATCTTGGGGCTGTCATAAATTAAATAATGAAAAATGGAGCAAAAACGTTTTTTGACATGTTCACTCGAATATCCGTTTAACGCTCCGATTTTGTGCTCCGAAAATTGACCAAAATAAACAAAAATTGTGATTTTATGATTTGTAATGCAGACAAAATTGAAATTGCTTTTATTTTTACGAAATATCATTTCTGCAAACTAAATATTCTTGAGACGACTAATGACCGGGAAACTCTCCACGAAACTTGGAGATCTTTATAAATTTTTATCTCAAATTTGTTTCGCTCTAATAAATTTCACATCAAGAGATCATGCGTTTTCTCAGTCTATCTGTCAGGTTTATTTTAGAAATGAATTCCTTTCCACGAAGGATAACCCATTGAGTTACTTAAGATGTAATTGAAAATCCTCGTAAAATTTCAGGACCACACGAGTAATTAAAATAGACCAAAGTTCGTTCAAATGCTGTTGAAAAATCGCTCACCCTTGGAGCTTGGGGTCCTGGAAAAAGGTGTTTCATTCCCCAAAAGATTGTAAACCGTAGAGACATGGCATACGAGACGAGAAATCCAAAATATCCTCCAGAAATCCATCACAGTGTCCACCACCCGAGACCATCGGACCCAACGGGTTATCCATATGCTCTCCACCCACCGCAGACCGATGAGAATCGCAACGAGAATAATTGTGACAATAAAGAGACCCATCGACGTCATTCGCACACTTCCTCGGGAACACAGACCATTCAGAAGGTCGACGCCGCAACGATGACTGATCCTCTCAGAATTGACTTCAGACTGACCTCCGAGTACCTGGCGAGGTGCTCCAACAACCTTGGAGTCCCCTACGTTCCCAAGTATGAAGAGAGCAATGAAAGCACTCACAGTTGCCACCAGGCAAGGACTAAAGTCGAATATGATGTTGAGCCTCGACATATCAATGGTATTGTAACATTACATTCAATAATTATCATTTATTCCTTTTTGTTCACCTGGTATTATTTATTCAGGGGCTATTCTTGCTGCACAATATAATGTCGTATAAACAATGAGTCGTGGCAAAGTAAAAAGATGAGGAGAAAGGGTTAGTCTGCTCTTCGAAAAAACGTAGAGATAATAAACACAGTTGAAATTCCATTCAATAATTTTGTATCACCTCACAACTCACAAACATGTGAAGCACATGGTGAAAATTCTCTTCTCAATCTCGACTTACAATTTCATAGAAATTCCTTTTTGAAAATTCACAACTCTCTGGAAATCAGCAACTGTTAAGAAACTGAAAAAATTACATTCCATAGACAATACATGAGGGCCTCAATGGACCAATAATGAACTGAATAAAATGAGACTTTGAAATATTTGCTACAGGAATGCTGATCTACCACTGTCCAGAGTGTGCGTATCGTTTTCAAGACCGAGAGAGTCTCCATGAGCACCTGGAGGAACATCGCCAGCGTCCACACATCTGTGACATCTGTGGGGTGAGCTTGAAGCGTAAGGAGCACCTTGATCGTCACAAACAGGGGCACAACAAGGACAGGCCCTATCAGTGCTCCATGTGCTGTAAGGCTTTCAAGAGGAATGAGCATCTGGCACGTCATATGATCATCCACTCGGGGAGCAAGAATCAAATCTGCACAGAGTGTGGAAAGGCTTTCTATCGTAAGGACCACTTGAAGAAGCATCTGCAGAGCCACAATGGAACCAGGGGAAAGTCCCTGGGTGAGGGCCACCAGCAGAGTGCCAATAGTCCAGTCGAGGGACAGCAGAACTCCAGCACTGATGGACTTGGCAACTTTGCCATGATGATGAGGCAGGCGGGACCACCTCCTTTCTCCATTTTACGAACTTAAATATTGGCGAGAATTTTATCGATGATGGGGATTGGTTGTGCAGGGGTGGAAGATTTGTTCGGAACCAGGGGGAGGCTTTTTTCATTCGTTGATGCCTTTTTACTCTTTTTCACAGAGATGAAGGGTTTCTCGTTGCTAATAGTCACTTGATCCTAGGACTCTAGGGGAATGCCAATTAGTGGGCATCATATTATTAAATTAGGAATAAATTACTTTTTCTATTGTTTTGGGAATGGGGAGAGTTTTTGGAAAGTTGGAGATTTTCTCTCAAGCTCAGTAGTTGATAGTCAATTCAAGGTAATGATATGGAATGTGAAAAGGTATTTCCGGCGAGGGTGAGGAATTTAAGGGATGAATGTAGCGTTTTCTGAGGAAATCCTGGCGATTTTATGAGTTTTTTGGGGAATTCTGAGAGATGTTTGATAAGAAAGAAAGAATAGATTTTGATTCTTCTATCAAAATACATGAATTTTCTTCATGTTTTTATCTCAAATTTTGTAATGCAAGATAAACAAAGTACAAGGCGAAAAATACGTAAAAAAATCAATGTCTGATCACATTAATTTATAAAAAATTTTAAAAAGGAAAATTTCATGAAGAAATTCAACCAAAAAAATGAAAATTCTGGAAATAATGAAAAATAAATGGATAATGTTTTGGAATGAATTTTTGCATGAATGAAGTGAGAATTCACTTATTTCCAGGGAAGAGATAATTAGGATCAGAGATTCCTAGAATCAAGGGATTTTTTCATGGGAGTGAGAAATCTTTTGGCTCTGTATTGAAGCTTCTAAAAGAGTATATTTGAGTGACTTGATTCGAAGAATTTCTTCAGAAGCTATCGATGAAGCGACTGCATCACTATTGAATGGATTATTGAAAACTTATTTGGAATATTTTTTTCGTTTACTGTTTTGTTTTTTACAATTGCTCTGCGGGAGAATGAGGAGTGACAAAATATCAACTTCAGATTTTATAAAAATAATAACAATAGTAAGTTCTTTTGATAGATTAAACGATAAACTCGGCTACTAACGATGACATCACACGCGACATAGGATGTAAGATATCTAATTATTATACGACGTTGCAGCCTAATTTAATGTTAATTTAATGTTTGAAAACTTCGAACGTTATTGGTTAAGAAACTATTGAATGATTTTTTAAAATTCTTTATTATCGTCATAACGACGAGGAGAAGTCTTTGTGTAGTTTTTTTTTCTGGACTTTGGACGAATTATGGAAGTTTGTTATTCATTGTAACATATTTGGAATCAATAAAGGGAGTATTATTGTGTAAGGCAGGACCAATGTTTTTTCGAGAGTTCCCCATCAGTCGATTGATAGAAAAAAATTCTTAATTCTCACTAAAGAAATGATTTTTCTGTTTTGAGGGGTAGATAGGTAAGAGAAATGATTATGAAACTGACTTTATTACAATCTCTTTTTATATATAATATAATATATATCGGTATGTATGTGTATACATACGAATATACCATGTACGGATTATTACATATAGCAGCAATGAAAAAAATTATGTTAATCGTTCTCGCCAATTTTTTTAATTTCGCATCTCTTTCGATTTCTCCCTTGTTTGAAAATTTTTTCATTGGAATTCTGATGCTCTTCACGTGCTCTCTATATAAAAATAAAACGCTAGGGTCCTTAGACATGTGGCTCATCTATATTACAGTTTTTTTTTCTTCAGCTCTTTTGATTTGGATGAATCAGACATTTGGTGTGATAAATTATTGGAATTTATTTTGTTGCACGTTTGTTGCAGCTGTGAAAAAATGAGGGAGAATTTCGAGACCATTCTAGTTTCAACGAAATGAAAAATACAAGGCAAGACTCCTGTCATTCTTATAGGCTGTTTCTAATTGTCTCTCTTTCATTTTCGTAACACTATTGGGAAAGATCATTATTTTTTTCCTTTGTTTTTATGCTTTGTACTATGTCGAGGAATCGTATTTTATTATTAACCATTTATTATTCTTTATTTCTCGTCCACTGCTCTCGCCCTGGCTGATTCATGGCTGATTCTCTGGGTTAGGCGAAATTTTTCGTCCACGTTCCTCTTTTTATTCAAATTATAACTAGGCTAGGGCTATTTATTTCATGTCCTCTCGAGGGCACACCCATTCCCGTACTCAGTGACCGAAAACTAAATCAGGCTCATTAATTATTAGAGAAAGAATTGTTTTTTTTTTTTGCATACACGGAGAGAAATTGTTTAGAAAAATTCAAGTGCTGCTCCAGTCGAATTTGTGGCTGTTTTTTCTTCGAAAAATTTCGAAAAGAGATTTTCAGACATTTTTATATTAATTTCCCTTAATTTTTTCGTCAAATTACCCAAATCGTGGTCTCAACCTGAAAAATTCAGATTTCTAATGATTTGTATCAAAATTTGAATAAATTCGACAAAAATTCACTAGCAGCCGAAAAAAATTTGACTCATGAATTTTTCTTAAAAATCTATCCCCCGTACGTCACACAATTTCACTGGTGTTTCCTTTATTTTATTTTCCTCACTCGACAATGCGTAGAAAAATATCTCTCTCGTTGATAAACTCCGAGTTTTCATCCGGGATAATCAGCTTGATTGAATCAGGGTATCTAAAGACTGCAGCCCAATTTTTATTCTCCTCCTACTCAAATTGAATTGATGTAAGGAGATATTGCCGGTGTAATTCCAATGAGAAATGACTATTCCCCCATAAAATAATGAAAGTGCGCTGAAATCGCGGTAATTTCTCAATTACTCTGAGGAATATTTGAATAATTTGAAAGACTAATGGAATACCAAGCACATCTACTTCAATTATACCAAAAATACTCCGCAGTTTCTCATCAGAAATGAAATTCAGGTAGAAAATACGAACATTGTTGAAATGAAAAAAAACAAAAAAAAAAAACACATCAACGTAAAAATTGGACTTTTCCCTCTTCCGTGTGAATATTCAACAAGAAATGTTCACTCGTAAAGCTAATCGACTTAAAGAGTACTCATTCACCATTCGCACTCTTCACTTTCATGGCTTATTATTTATTTAAATCGTAACGCTATCTTAAGTAAACGCTAACATTTTTCTTTTCCTTTAAATCTTGTATACAAACTTGTTCACCTTATGCTATTACGGTGGCGATTGATTACTTCGAATACTCATCCCCTTATTATTTATAAACTTTACATTATGTATGCTTACCTCCCCTCTAATATTAGTACGTGCTTCATAGTACAATCTGACTTATACTTTTTTTTTTCTTTATATACTTGAGGTCTGACGAAAACCTGAATTGCCATTGATTTTTTGTTTTCTCTCTGGTTTGAATGTGAGAGAGCATTTTAAAACCGATAATTACGTCTCAAATGAGTTTAAGACGAATTTATCTCTCTCGTACAGCCAGTTTAGCTACTTATCCCCTACGAATATCATATTCTGCTATTGAAACAGCTGATCCGGTTATAATCGATAAATCATTCGTGAGGAAATTATAATGAGCGATGGCACAATATTTCCAGCTTGTTTACACTAAATTATAGACTATCGAATGCAAATTACCGTGAGGAGTAATAAATGGACGATCACAACCAGACGCGTATGAATTGGCAAAGAAAAATATAAAAATGTGTCAGTGCTTGTCGAGGAATTGATCGAAAATTCCAAAGATTAGTAACTAATTATTTGATTTTTTAAATGTGAGATTCTAATTTTTCATTAATTTGCCCATGGAGTTATTATCTAATAATAAAAAAAATATGATAAGTGATCAACGTTCGTTAAAGAGATCTACTTCAAAAAATAAAGTGTAAGAAAATAAAGCGAAGAAGGAAAACAAAATTGTATCAACGAAAAACATCATTAAAATTTTCTAAAATTTTGCTACACCATTTTGCATTTCAGCGATACGAAAGAAAAAAATGCACGAATCAACGTTCGTAAGCGCAATACAAATATATACCAATATGAGTATTTATATAATATGTATTTATATATATTTGTATGTATATATGTATAAAAGCCGCCGGTAAGGTGTTTTGGAACTACTCTGTCATTACTAAAAATACTGCTATGGATAATACACATAAAAAATGAGGAATGAGTGACGATTTTTCATTCGGTTATTGCAACTTATTCGCTCAATTCACCATCGATTTTTTTTTATACTTTACCAAATGGAGAATAAAATCATTCTGCGATGATCTATTATGGAACTATCATAAAAATATTATCTTTTCTTTACGTGACATTTATGGCAAGACTCTTGCAACAGGCATTTAACTCTATCCTCTTTCGTCATTTCGTCATCAATGAGCTTTACTTTTACTCTTCTTTGGAAGGAAATTAATTGTGGACCTCCAAGAAAAATACTCACTGCTGTTCCCTAAAATTCTCCATAAAAGTTTTATTTTTTCTAAGAATTCAAAATGTAGAATACATTTGCACTAGAGAAAGCAGATTTTTCACATTCAGAAAAACTCTCGATCCTAAAATAACGGATTCTTTCGTTTGATTTAATTCCAGGATTAAATTACCGTACAGACATGTTTTGACGCCTAGAATATTTTGCTTGGATATCCACAAAAGAATTGAAACAATTAGTGAAAGTGAATGAAAATCAAGGTGTTCTCGACCTGCGATTCCCTGAAATGCTATCGAAACATGAATGAAAGAAAATAAAGACTCGTAACTCGACGAAAAACAAAAACAGAGAGTGATTCCCTAAATCTTACGTCAAGAATCGAAGACAGCAGAGAGTGAAGCCAACAGTGACCCTCAGAAATCTTTGACATGATTGAGGAAACCGAGCTCATGTCCCTGATAGTGAGTTGTACCAACAGCCGCCTGGTGTGCAGCGGCATTAACCGCAGCCAAATGATGGTGGTGATGAAGTGGATGGTGACTCGGTGAGTGGGAAATGACATTGTTAGGGTGGGGAACTTGAAAGTTCCCTGGTGGTGGCACTCAGGACAGGAGGGGCCCTGGATGCCCACCAGGAAGAACAGACGAGGCTGACACTGTCGTCGTTTGCATATTCGACACGTTGTTCTGCTGCTGATTTTGCTGACCTCCTTTAAACAAACGCAAATTTACATGTGCACCATTGAAATATCTTGCAAATCAAATTTTCTTTACGACAGACACAATTAAACAAATTCAGGACTGAAGCTGTAAAGAAGGACAAATCATTCCTTAAAGGAGTTTTCCAGGAATATCCGTAAGGCTAAAAAAGATAGCGAAATTTTTGATAGGACCTTTTTTGAAGATTAGAGTAAAAGCTCCAAAAAAGGTCTTTATAAAAATATTGATATCTCTCTTACATTCAGAGATATTTCTATTTCCCTATTAGATAGATAGACTGTGCTTTGTTATGCTTTGCCTATTCTCACAACGATAAGATCTAGAAAATAAAATTTATTTATAAAATTTGAACACTTGAGTTGAGCATTTAAATTCTATATTAATGAAAATAAATGAATATGAATTTAGCCATTGCAATTATTATTCTAATAGAAAGGATAGAAGAAAGAAAAATGCTCACCAGCATTCTGACTGAGTTCAGCCTTGACCCTCCTGGCAATATGACTCCTAGTGTGTTTCCTCAGATGATCCTTGCGATAGAACCCCTTCCCACACTCGGTGCAGACGTGTCTCTTCTCACCGGAATGAATAACAAAGTGCAGTGTCAATTGCTCCTTTCTCTTGAAAGCCTTCAAACAAACTGTACAGACGTATGGCCTCTCTGGATTGTGGCTCTGCTTATGGCGTGTCAAGTGATCTTTGCGTTTAAGTCCAGCCCCACATATATCGCAGACAAATCTGCGCTCGAGTGTGTGACCCAGCAGATGCTGCTCGAGGAGTTCGCGTTCAGGATACGCCATGTGACACTCAGGACAGCAGTAGAGAGTCGAGCCATCGAGTGCTGTTGTCAGTCTAATTTCCCCAGGTTTTGGACGTGGTTTTTTCTCTTTGGGTGCCTTCTTTTTTTTCTTCTTCTTGTTATTTGGAGACATCATAATGTTTGGTGTTGTTGTTGTAGCAACTGCTACCGAGGTAGTTTGCGCCTGCATCTCGCTCTCTTTTTTTATGCTCTCGGCGGAATATTTGAGGAAATGATGGAGACTCAGAGGAAGGGTACTGGCTGGCAGGTGGGACAGATAATCAGCTACTGTTGAGCCTGGTGTCGCCAGGGATTGCCAGGTTGCTGGCATTGATGCTGGGGTTTGGGTGTGCGCGTGCTGCTGATGGTGCTGATGGATGGAGTAGTCTTGCTGGCTGCCGTTTGGCGTTCCGGAAGAGTCTCCATTCCTCTGCTCATCGCTCTTTTTCTCTTTGCTCTTGTCTTTCTCCTGCAGGAGGTTGCATACGTCCTGTTTAGCACATTTCACTCATCATACTCAACAATTGACATAACAATATATTATTGTAAATAAAAAACACGTGCTAAAAAAGAATATCACATTTTTGACTACCGACTCCTCTAGAATCAAAACAATTTTTTCACATTGAAAAATCACATTTGTGCCTGGACTCATTGACAATAAAAAAAAATATGAGACAAGGGAATATTTCACCTGATGGTAAGCCCTTTTCTCCTGCATCCCCGGTGAATTGGATGGCCTCTGCTGAATGGGTTGTGCTTGCGAGTACGGTGCATTAGTATAATGATGTAGATTACTATTGGGATAACCACTCTTATTGTTCATCATCCCCTGACTCTGACTCGTCTGCGTACCATTAACCTCTGGACGGTATTTTCCAACAACCGGCACTCCGATGGGAGGCTGGTTGGGAAAATGATTGGCGTATCGTGATGTTGCACCACTGGAACCGTCCGTGGCAAACTGATGTATGCTGGGGATGGTGCCAGGAAAGTGGCTGCCAAACGGTGGGAAATTCATTGCAATTTGTCAATCGAAAATCTAAAACAAAAATTAAAATATTTCACCATCATCCCCACCACCACATCGACAAATCCATAAACAACCCATCCATTGCCCAACAACCCCCGTACTCACATTAACGTCCTATTCCCCATGTTTTTTCACGTCAGTGCAGTGCTACTCCCTTACCACCCCTCAAACCCACCAGGCAAACTCACTTTATCATCCCCCGTCACGTTAAATATCCAAATAATCAAAAATTCAACGAAAAAAAAAATTATCAAAAAAACAACAGCACACCCAACAATATATTTTTCACCCCCACAACACGCGGTTCTCACTCCTTTTTTTTTTATCCTCTCCAACCCCGTAATGTCACAATGGCAGTCTAGTTTCCCGTTTTATGTCTCCTCTCTCACACGCGCCGTCAATAATCCCCCCGCGGCACTCGGCGTTTTAACTCACTCCCACCTCCCCCTCCCCCTCCTCCAAAAAAAACCCCCCAACT